CACAATTGTTTATGCATGCTTCAGAATTTCATACCCTGACAGGAAGAGTCTTATTAGAACGTAGAAGCTCCTTGCTTTATGAAAGTTTATCCTATTTTCTGTGTAAGTCTAATTTTACATTGGTTCGGGGAATAAAATGTAGCCTCAATGCCAGATACAGTCAACCCTGTCCAAGTCAGCCACCCAGGGGACCAAAGAAAAGCGGTCACCTTGGAATTGAGGAGGTCTCCTTGAAGAGGGTCACCTCACAAAATGACAGATATAAAATTAATGGTTTCCAACACTAGAGTCCATTCCGTGTCACCGTGTGGGTTTTTTCTCCATGTTTGTAATACGAATTATTTAGAAGAAAAGAACAGCCCAGTAACAAAAGTTCTAAATGTTTCAAAATTATTTTTCTATGTGAATGCTGTTTAATGCTTCAAATAATGTGACAAATTGTACCTAATTCAGGGAGATGCGCTTCTGCTCCCCCTGCTGTTGTACATTTGTTAAATGATGAGCAATAAAATAAAGTTGAAAAAATTTGAAAACAAAAATTTGAATATATTTGAATTCATTTAGATGTTTCTGAAACATTTTGAAAGTGGCTGTACAAAGATCTCTTTATTTAGAACAAATTTGAACTACCTATGTGTTTCTTTCACTATTCGAAATATTTAGAAATATTTCTAACAAATAACCAAATGGTAGAAGTGGGTAATTGTAAAAGTAGGTGATAATCCAACTCTTTTGTCTTCTTCTGTATATTTTTAGATTTCACTGCTGGATACTGGTAGCTCTAATGTTGTAAGGCATCAATGCCTGACACCCAGGCAGTCTACCCTGTACTTCACAGGGATGTGTGAATAACTTCCCTCCCATCCCACTGACCTATTTACAAAATGTTAGAAATAATTCGAAACAATGGTACAAAATGGTAGAGTGCTGTTAGAAATATTTAGAAACTATTGGAAATGTCATATTCGACATCAGGAATATTTCGAACAATTTACAAAGCCAGGGAATTATTTAGAATGTTGGAAAGATATTCAAAATATTTCCAAATTATGAAATTTCTTAGACAAACAATTACAAAGAATTCTAAACATTTCTAAATAATGACAATAGCACACGGTGACGTGGAATTGACTCTAGTCGAGATGTTTTAAAGTCAAACGCTGTAAGCATCCTCAGTTCCGTGGTGAATTCATGTGGGGAGGATGGCACCTGGCACAATTTATGTCAAACAAAAATATCATCCAGTAGTCAAGGCAAACTGGCTGGTTTCTCCGTTATTTCTCATTAGTTATTATCAATAATCAACAAGATCAAAAAAATGATGTGGTCACCATGGGCAGGTATCAGGCCTTAAGCAGACCCAACTCAGGGTGATCGCGGTCGTGTTGACCAGGTGGTCACCTTGGACAGGTTGCTTAATGCTTGCGTCAATGGGGAAATTTTTTTTAGATCGAGAAAAAGCGGTCACCATGGCCAGGTGGCCAGCTCGAAGAGGTGGTCACCTTGGCAGGTTTGACTGTACTCAGTGGTACACAATCTTTGACAAATTCATCTTTGAAGCAGTGTGTTATGTATCTGTCTGGCAGTGAATGTGTGGAGAGGCTGCAGATACAGTCAAACTCGTCAAAGAAGCTACCAGTTTTCCTCAGTCCTACTACATAGTAGTACCAAGAAAAAGTGGTACTACTGACTATTACTTTACATGCTACCAAAGCCTTGTGACTATCTTTTGACTTTGTCTTCCAATCGGCAGATTATATAAACGCGACGAGCAGTCCACACAGCCTGGCTGCGAATCCTGAATTAGTCCGCTAAGTTTACACATAAGCCGCTACGAAACTACTAGTACTGTATGCAATTACATACTAATCCACTCCGTCTTTATGAAAATTTCCTTTTGACTCCTGTCATATTTCTGAATTTCTTGCCATGCCTCAAAAGTGTTTTCACAAAAAAAAGCACTGCCAGCCAGGGATTAGATTCTGATGGTGCAGTACTAAGTGTTTAGGTTAAACTTTGTAGCAGCTATATATATCTGGGACATTTTTGTGACCATATTCGGTTAAAAAACTAGTGGAAAAAATAAATTTTCAAAACTTCAAATGTCCGTTAATCCACAACTTACTCCCTATAGCTAAGGACCAGTCCAGGTAGACTCCCTGCATTTGATATGATGTTGGGAGGTTGCTCTGAGTTGGCTACAGGCATCTAGACAGAATAGAGTTTGTATAAAAGACGTCTGGAATAACCAACTGAAAATACCAGTATTTTTCCTACTTTCTTGAGAAAAGTGGTTGGCAGATTAACTGTTGTGCCCCAACAGTACAAGACTTAAGACTGTGCCTATTATGGATCATAAGATCATTGTATTATTTAAAAAAAAAGCAAGTATTACTAAGCACTGTATTATATGAGAACACGATCTTCACAGCTGCAGTTTGAAAATTGTGTCAGTCAAGGGGTCTGGGCTGTCCTAAAGTCTACCTACAAGGATGGGATTAATGAATATACAATGTAATACTGAATCAGACATACCTGTTGCACTTTCTTCAAACAGGTGCTGAATGATGTCTTCAGTCATTTCCAGGTGAATGGCTCTTGCAGCTCTGCATGGTTCTTTGTGTTCTGGCCAATGTAGTTCCTGGTGACTTTTGCTGCAGTAGAACACGTCTTTGCACTGAGTGCACCTCTTCAGAGGACGGCCACCAAGTGCAGGCATAGCACAGTACTCGCACAGCAGAGCCATGGTCTTTTTAGTCATCTACTGAGTCTCAACAATTCTGATTATCCAATGGATAATCCATACAATGTTACCTGTGAAACAAAGAATAGACTTTTAAAGTCAGGAACAATCACAAACTTGACATTGTATTACTGTCAATAATAAATTTGAAAACTGGAAAACAGAAGCAAATTCATAGGATAAATAATTGCATATTTACCATTTTCAAACACGTGCTCTGTTGTTTACTGCTGGGCGATTTCACTTCTCATCTGATGTAAGGCCTTGTACTGTGACTCAGGCTTGGGGAAGCTACTTATGCAAATGCTTTGGTACACGAATGACAATGGGTCGGGCTACAAAATACAACATCCTTTCACCAGGTGTCAATGTCAGGCAGCATTGTTCATGAATTATTCAAATTGCTATTACTTTGCAACTTGAAATGTCTTCCTCACAGCTGAACTGTGTAGAAGTGTGTCTGAAAGACAATTGGCTTGTACTTTATGTGGGGTCTAAATAATATTAATTTTTACCTCTATGGATGAAGGACCTTAGTTTCACCAGTAATATGAAGAATATTCCCATTATTTATGAAAGACAATTGGCTTGTACTTTATGTGGGGTCTAAATAATATTAATTTTTACCTCCATGGATGAAGGACCTTAGTTTCACCAGTAATATGAAGAATATTCCCATTATATCTGAATCAGTGATTTTCATGGAATGTTCATGAGGATAATTGGATGCGGTCTCGGTGCGGGGTGGTTTTCCCGACGGGATGAAGAACTACCGACCGGGGTGGGCTGCTAGCAGCACTGGTTTTTCATGACAACATTCTGGCTTGTAGCAAGAAGGTTTTAACTCCATGCTAATGTAGCATGAACCCAAGTCTAACAAGGAGCTTTCGCTTCTGTTGTCTCTACATTTCAAAAGTGTCTTGAAAGTTGAAGAATTAAACTTGTACCTCAGCAAGCTGTGGGATATGAACTTACTACAGCTTTGGCTAATAAAACAGTCCTATTCTGAGTATTCATGCAGTCTTTCAAATTTTCAAAGACCAAGGAGGTTATGGCATTCCTGAGGAGCAGGTTAACTAGTGAATCACATTCCATTCCTGCTATGTTAGATCTCCATGACTAACATCATCTTTAAAAGACATGTCTTTAATATGAGAAAAATCACAATAATACTGTCAATTTGATACATCCATCAACATGAACATACTATGATTTTTATATAAAAACTGCAAGAATACACACAGAATTATCATTGTGAAGTGACAAACTGTGTGTTATCAACCTAATTAGCTAGAAGCATATTTTTTGTTCCTGTGGGTGACAAACTGTGTGTCATTAGGACAGATTTTTTGACAGTGTAAACAATTTTTGGGTGGTGCATCCTGGACATGCGACACTTGTATTTTCTGCCCTGTGTAAATCAGGTCTAAGGACCTGCTGTTCAGTTCCACCCCAGGGGTTTTTCTAAACAGGGGAATAAGGGAGCTGCTCCCTCATGTAACCAGCCAGCTCCCTCATACCAACTTTCAAATTGAACCCTATGTGGCTACTAAGTAACTTACACACCATTTAGTCTAATTCTCAAAATGATCTTTTTCCAGTAAAGATGTAAAAACAATGCAACAGTGCATTCTAGCATTACAAACTGTGTTACTCTTATAAAAAAATCCCCCTTGGTCCCTTTGTTCCTTGCCATGCTTGCGATCTGCTCCCTCTTGCTAAATTTTTCTAGAAAAACCCCTGCACACCGTCGGGGCTGTTTAACACACCAACGGGGCTATTTTTTCCCGTCGGGGTAACCTTTGAGCCCAGACTTCTCATGAAGTATCACACAGACTTGCTAATTACACTGGTGTGAAGATGTGAATTCTCATTAATTCAGTGGTTTTCATGGAGTGTTCATGAGGATAATTGGATGCGGTCTGGGTGCGGGGTGGCTTTCCACACCGTCGGGGTAGAGTTTACTCCCGACCGGGGTGGGCTGTTGATCCTGTCGGTGTGGCTCCTACACCGACGGGATTGCAATTTTCAAAGTGAAATATCTTGACAAATATGTGTGTTTTGACCATAAAAAAATAACCTGGTACTGAGGATAACATGCTCTTTCAAATGGTATGTAAAAATTTACTGTACCTGCAGAAATGACAAAGTTGAAAATCAGGGATTTCAACATGGCCGTCTGCAAATTCGGAAAGTGACATTCCAAAATTGATGTGACCAGTGTTTAATTATGATTGACATCCAGTCAAATTCAAACCTTTCAGTAGCCCGACAGCAGCCTCGTTGGAGATGTGGAGGTTGTCCAGAGCCTCGACGATCTGCAGCAGTCCCTTGAAGTGTCTGGCCATCTGCTCCCTGCAGGCTGCACAGATGTTCTGTAGGGACGTGGCCGAGACGGAGCCCAGCTTCGGGTGCTGAAGGCCTGCCAGCAGGAAATTCAGCACAGAATCTGGGGGAAAGAGAAACATTTGTTGACAAATTTTGGCAATGAGAGATGGCAGACTTCACCCCCTTATCCACACTGCTTTGTGGCTCTTCCAATTTCCACAAAAATTAAAACAGCAGCACTGAGGATATATATGTACTGTATAATTAATAGTATGAATGGCGAGGTTATATTGAGTATATTTAGTAATTCTGAAAACACACGTACAAAAAAGCCAAAAACATCATATTACCCCATTTTAAGTATCAAGTTTTAGATTAAGTTTGAAAAAATTATAGGTTGTTGGATGTAATATGTCCAACTGCATCAGATTCTGAGTGCCTACAAAGCTGGAGTGTTGTGCTGAAAGGTGGTTATGCAGGCTGAACAATCTCCCACATCCCACCGGGACCCTACTACATGTACTGAGTACTAACTCACACATCATTAGGATGCACTGCACCTGCACAAATTCCAGATTTTTCAGTTTTGCCTGGAAGTGTTGCAAGTAACATTTGTATGGTTTGCAGGGCTCAACCGTAAAGCAGTGGTATGGAACTAAGTGAGATGGGCCACCCAGGGTAAATAAAATAGAAACAAACCGACCTAAAGTGTCGGGATGTCTGTCGATCCACTCGCAGAGTTCCCCCACCAGCTGAGTTCCGGTGTAGCGTACTGCGATGTGAGCATCCTGCGGGAGGTTTAACACGGCCTGGAGAACCTGCGGCACAACCTCCCCCTCATCACTGCAGGAAGGAACACAAAAACTGTGGAACAACGCTATTATTATCCACTCTTTATCTTATATATACATGTATAGTACATTATTATCATCACTGCAGGAAGGAACACAAAAACTGTGGAACAATGCTATTATTATCCACTCTTTATCTTATATAATACATGTATAGTACATTATTATCATCACTGCAGGAAGGAATACAAAAACTGTGGAACAACGCTATTATTATCTCTGATTGGTTCAAGCCTTCTGGGGTCATGATTACATTTAGCTAAGTACCAAAACTTCCTAGTAGATGCTTCAAGCTTCCACAACAACACAGCCTTCTTACTATCATGAAATTTCATCTATGTTTGTGGTTACAATTGTTTCAAGGTAAAACCTTTGTTTCAAAATGGGGAAGTTTGACTTACAGCAAATCTGAGGAATTTTTTTCATAACTATACCCTTCAGAAAACAACTGAATGACAAACAAATGATGAAGAGAACAGAATTGTTTTGCAGATTCATTGGCCAGGTTAGACCATTCACATTTCTCACAAAAGGAACAATTCCTTGCTATAATTGTAATATAATGGTGAAGAAGTGTGACTTACGGCATGAGGTTCTTAGCGACTGCTGACATGACGTACATGTGTGCCTCCGTCACATCCCACGTGGTGTTGGGAGTCTCCGCAAGGTTTCTGAACAACTGTGGGGACAAACGTTGTCACTTGACCCCTTTTTTTTAAAAGTGGGACCCGAGTAAAAGCTAGACAGTGTTTGGCCAAGCTAAACATGATACATGTACATCTATATGGCTCTGTAAATGACATAACTGCATTCATTTATGTCAAGCAGTATTTTCTCCTTTTTAAATATTTCATACAATGTATTTATTATGTACTTTAGACATACATGTTAAGAGTAACTCTTGGCCTTCAATAGGCTTAATATGCAAATTTTACAAAGTATGAATTGTATGTCTCCATACCTGAGTAAAAACATTGATGGACCCAACAATGAATACCACATCTTTGATGAGTTCTGAAACTCTGATCCGGAAGTCTGCAAAGTCGTCTGTCTCGTCTGGGATGCCCTCCTGAAATGTCATCAAACAAACATCAACATTGCATTGTCAGTAGATATAAACTGATATTGTTTGTAACTATGCTTAAGTTTGACTTGTGAAAATACCAGTAAAGGACAAGACAACAGTTTTCAAGTCTCAACTGACAATCTAAAGGCAGAAACATTGTACATGTACAAGACGGTCGAATTAAATTTACAACAATGTTATAAACATTATCATTTGAAATAAAATTTCAAAATTATAAATACATGCGCATTATTGTAATTCATTCCTTCTCTTTTACAAACTCCTTAGTTATGACTACACCTTTTGGTAATTTATCCATTTTCAAACTATTTGTCTCTCATAATCAAATTTTGATAAAATTGTACAATTGCACACATACACCTTGCAGACTAATAACATATGAATGAGTGCAACATTCAAATGACTCCACTCAGGAATTTTATTAATATGCAACAAATAAAGCAGAAAACGTATAAAAATACACGTAGAATAATTAGAAAGAAATTGAAAAGCAACAGAAAGCTCTGAGCTCGTTGTTTAACAAGAGAACTGATTAAAAACAGGAATAACACTGAAAAGTTGTGATATACCATACCTTAGAGTTAAAGAAATGTATGAAACAGAAGACAGGACATAAAATGGAGAGACAGAAGAGATGAGACACTCACAGGAGGAATGTCACGCTGAGGGAAACAGAACAGGGGAAGATTTAACCTTTTTTAAACAAATTTGGTGCCAAATGGGTGCATGATGAAGGTTAACTTAAAGCACAGATGAAAGCATTACTGGCTGGCGCAGGCCACAAAAATGTGATGCATTGAAATTTCAAATCTAATGTGGCATATCAAAGAAAGAAAACAAAGTTATCATAATGCTGTTTATAAAAGATACTTTATGATGATATGAGAAATCAGAAACACAAGCTGCAAAAATATGCTAACAGAAAGAATGCCATTATTATTAGTACTAGCTGAATTACAGAGCACAAGTTGAAAGACAGACACATAATTTCCCATAGTTATACATGTAGAAATGTACTTCTTTTTAGATCATTTAGAATTCTTTTGTGGAATCATTTACCCTTATAAAAATATTCTAATTGTTACTTATGGTAGCTGTTCTTTCTATTTTCATATTTCAGTACAGAGATTAAATTGACTGAAATATGATGTATTTGCTACTTGTGTTTTTTGTCTTGTAAAATCTTTTCTGCACTTGTACCTGAATCATTGTTACTTGCATTATCTATTTGTTTGTTTTTAGTTTGCATCATAAGCAGAGACTGTAACAAACAAAAACAGACAAACAAACAAACAAACATGAGAACTCACGTGGTCCTCATCCATCTGACAGTGTGTGGACAGGGAGTTGATGAGGCGTTGGAAGTAGGGTTTGAAGATGGTGTTGAGGTTGGTGCTGTCTCTTTTGTACAGGACCTCCGACAGACGGTACCAGAAGTTAAACGTGATCTCTGCAACCTGGAAACAAGAAATACAATGTAGAAGATGAGACGGGGGGCGCCACAGACTTTCTGCAACCTATGATGCACTGCTCACAGACTCACGTGTGATATCCATGTGACATCACAGAAACGGTGGGTTGCTCATTTCTTGACATAGGTACCAGAAGTTGAACATGATTTCTGCAACCTGGAAACAAGAAGTATTATATTCATGTTTACCGAAGGAAAACACATTGTTTTTGCTATTAGACTGTTTCTTCTTGTATTCCTAACACTGACCTGGGTAATGACCTGAACCAGACTGTCAGTCTGTCACAATAGTAACTGGTATTGGGTTACATAATGTTGCACTTTTACAGTAGGAGGGATTTAGACTCCTGTCACCAAATATGTGAATGTGTATATTCCAATTGTATATAATAGTCTTTTAAACTTAAAGCTGGTATGACACAAAACAGGATTTGAACCCATGACCCCCAGAATGCAAAGGGAGAACTACATCTGCACAAGACTATTGCACCAGGGATTTTGATATAAAAGATAATGAAGATTCAAGTATATTGCGTACCCCCTGCCATACCCTCCAATTCTTACCTCATACTGACAGTGGCCCACACATGCCAGGAGCAGATCTAGTATCCTCAGATCCCCCAAGCCCTGCCCCGGAGCAGCCATCATCAACTCAAGAAACGACTCGGCCAGTTCTGTGAACACTCGACAGTAATTCAACGATCTGAGGGGCAGAAAAGGGTGAACATGTATGATACTATAACTCTATTTCCTAGACCAACCACCAGCCTGTGAGCTTGGATCTTGGTGTAGTGTTTGTTACTATATGTATTTTTGTCAGGATATTCAGCACATATGGTATGTACAATTGTTTTGTAACAAACTTTCAGGGTATATTGACATGTATATGTGTGTATTTCCCTGTCAATGTGTGTTTGAAGAAGAAATAAATAAAATAAACTTGTAAACAATTCAAGGAATATTTGTCATCCTACCTGTCAATCTTCCCCACCCATGTGCTCTCAAGACAACCTAAGTCAAAACCATTTTCTGTCTTTGACCTGTCTGTCAATCTTTTCCCACCTATGTGCTTTCAACCTAATCTAATTTCACCCTATTTCCTGTGCCTGACCTGTCTGTCAATCTTTCCCCATTCATGTGCTGTCAATCTAATCTGAGTTTGCCCCATTTCCGGTGTCTGACCTTCTGGCCAACTGCCTGTCAATCCTTCCAACCCATGTGCTGTCAACCTATATTGTACTCTGTCCAGACAAACAAACAGCCCAGCCACCCACAACCAAACTTCCATGCACTAGCACAGGGCTCAAAATACTGGGTGCATGTGCACCTTGGTGCATCCAAGTATGGAGCTGTGCACCCAATTTTTTTATGGTTGGTGGGCATATATTTTTAACATCCAAGTGTCAGAAAAAAGATTAAATCATTGTTTTAGTACTTAAGTAATTAGTTTCTGCTGACATTCTTCTTCACCAGTGAGCCTGTTCCCCCAAAAAAATTTCGAGCCCTGCTTGCACATGTTTGGAAACTATTGGGAAAAGCCTCTCCTTCCATGAGACTTACTTGTCTATGTCCTCCTGTGCCACAATTGATGTAATAATCAATGTATTGATGCAGGGAGATTTTAATAACAGGCGCATCCATTTAAAAGGTGAGTAAAGCATGGAATGGGACTGTTTTTATTGTTGGGAAAAGCCTGTCCTTCCATGAGACTCACTTGTCTATGTCCTCCTGTGCCACAGACACATGGTAGGGCTCTGATAGCGAGATCACGCCCTGGAACAGGCAGTTTGCCAACGACTCGTATCTGGTGATGTCCTGTAGGGAAAGTACAGCAAACGGACAAAAATAATCAAGTCAGAAAATACATGTATCAAAAAAGATTGTCTAGTACTAGATGTCTGACTTTGTTAGAGACCCTATCCAGCATACATGTACATGTATATGCTGTATACATGTAATGTACAAAAATGTGTGTTGATTTTTGTATATTCAAGTTCACCCATGTGTCTGATTATGACAAAGATACATGTATATATATAATGACTATGGATAATATATTATACATGTACATTTGTACACATATATGATGAATAGATATTTAAAATCCTTAAAATAAATTTAAGGTCAAAGCTAATAAAAGTTGTGTTGAAATTGGTACATAACTACAGCTCTGATGCTTACCTCTGCCACATAGAGAGCAGAACAGATACAGTCACAGGCTGCCTCATGGACGGAAGAGACTGTGTCTGGGTTATGCTGTGGGAGAAAAATAAAAAAATAGAAAGATTAGAGTGCTAAAAAGTTGTGACAAGAAGGGGACAGTTTACTACTAGAACATGTACATGTACAGCAAATGTATAATGTCAGTTTTGGCTTTTTGACAAGCACAATAAACATTGGACCACAGCTTCAAACGCCCTGTCTTTAAAGGACTGCAACACAAGCTTTCCAGCAGTGTTCAAATCTGGAGAGTGACCGCCTGACCGGGATTCGAACCCTTAACCTCAAGATCCAGGAGCACTGGTGTTGCTAAAACCTGGCAAGTGCATGCAAACCTGTGCAAGCATAACAGTCACTTTGACTAGTTTGAGTTAGACACTCCAAAAACTGACCTCCACTCAAACATACTACAAAAAGCTACATTAAGTGTTTGAAGAAGAAAATCAGAAGAATGGGTATATTGTGGCCTCCAATGTTTGTTTTATTTCAACCTCTTACTATTATGTTTGGAGAGTTTCAGCTATGTAAATATTGAAATTGGCCCTGTCTACACTGCAACTTGAGAAAAAATAGTGCAAGAGACCAGTATGCCAAATGTTAAACATTTCCAACTTAAACAATGTGGTCATTTTTTCTCAGCGGAATGTACTCAGTGTGACATGAAAATGCCATAACTGTGATGTTAGATTAACAACCACATAGATTGCACATACTCGAAACTAACTCATGTCAAAGAATGTTTGATCAAACTTCACAAAGATGTCCCTTTTTCTAATGTTGTAACCCTGAGGCTACCGCAACCAACTGCTAGAAATTCTTACATTCAGCAAACCAGACAGTTTGAAGACTGAAACATTTCAGGAATGTTGCTAAGCAAATGATGTCCAATGGCTGTTCAAAAATGGGCTCTCCCTTTGCATACTAAATACATGTATGTTACAACTTAACTGTACCAGTTTGTTTCATGTTACGACTACATGTATTATGTAAAAAGAGTTGTAAATATGTGAAAAGAAGTGGAAAATAATATTCACTATAAAGTTTGTTTCCAAAGCTTTTGTTGCAACTATAACTTGAAAGATAAATAATAATTTAAAGAAGCCAGCTAAAGTTTTCCGTCTAAATTATGTAATTAGCTTTTCAACAAGAGCTTGCGATTGACATCTTTATAATAATATTATATTCTCTTGCAAAAAGACAAATCATCAAAAACAAAGGACCGTACCATGGCTTGGAAAGGTGCGTTGAGTAGTTGGCTGGTTGCAACCGCCTCTCCCTGGATTACACCAAGATTGAACCAGCTACCGAGACACCGGTATACCTGTAGGACGCAGATAGAATCATACAACATTGAACTTGAATTGAATGTACAAGTAACACCCATACAACTAAAGCAAGGAGGTAATGAAAAATTACTGTTAAAGTCTGGGGCTACATGTAGATATTTTCACCATTTAAACTAGTTTCTCCAATACTACAGTACAACTACAATCTTTTACAAAGTTTTAGACCCACCACTATAAGTTAAAGCAATAAAACAAATTTCTACACTAACAAAATACACCATAAACTACATGTACATTTGTACAGTTACCTTTGCCTGTACTCTTGAATCTGCTGCACAGCTTTGTGTACAAGCAATCTGAAAGTAGACATAAATACAAACATATAGAGTCTGACATATACATTGTACAACAATATCAAAAGAGATCTTTTGTTTATATTGTGTTGACCAACACATGGCTCTCTATGCAAATCAGACAGCTTGTCCAATCTGGTAACAACAGCTTTCGCAGAACAGTAAACAAGATAGGCTGTGAGTAAACAAGGTTGGTAAACATCACTGACACGTGCCGTTGTGCATAGACAACTAGGCAAAGTCTACGGCACCCTTGTCTGGTTTGCTAAGTGTTATAAGACACAGATTTTACATGTAGAACTCATTTGATTTGTACTTAGATATCATTATTTTTAGAAATCCTTGTGTAAAGCTAATATTTCTAATATAACTTATTATAAGTTTCAATGTTTAGTATTGTGGTTTCTAGCTGGTTTCTGTCTATACATTTTCCTACTGGCTCTCACAACACTAAAGACATGCATCTAGCAGGAAAATGAAGACATTATGAGATAACCTTTTCTGTGACCTTTCTATGACCTTTGACCTACATCTACTTCCTGTCCATGTCCCATGTGCTAGCATGCAGAAATAACTACAGAAACACAAGCAAACACACAGACACACCAAAAACAAAACCTCACGAAGGTAAAAACTACATCATCAGGGCTCGAAATTCGTTATTAAGAAAACCCATAGGTGCACTGGTGCACCCAACCTAAAAAATTGGGTGCACAGAAATATTTTGGGTGCACCATATAAGATAAAATAAGTAGAATGTCAGCAAAAACAAATAACCTTTTAGTTCTAAAGAAAAGTACTATAACAGGGATTTTGGTATTTTTTTAGAAAAACATTGGGTGCACAGCTCAAATTTTGGGTGCACTAAGGTGCACTTGCACCCAGTATTTCGAGCCCTTATCATGTACATGAATAAACACTGACCAGCAGTTGTATAACCAGGTCACAGGACTCGGCCAGTTCCTCTATAACCTCCCCTCGCCTGTTGGCTCCCAGTCTCAGAGATCTGCTGTTCACCTGACGGGAAAATAAACTTTGCTGTTTCTGTATAGTGGGAATATTGGGTCATAATATACATGTACATGTACTGCAATTCTCTTTATGCTCAAGGCAGCAAAAGTTCACAGTCTGAGAAAAATAGACATGTTCAAGGAACTATATTCATGGTGGCGACAGGTGCAGGAAAAAGAAAGTCCAGGAATTATTTGTTAACTGTAATTAGTGATGCATACCGGTTCACTGGACTGGATCCGGATTTGTAAGAATGTTTAGGTTCAAGTCCAAAAAAACCTAAAAGTCAAGAACCGAGTCTGGACTTATTACCATAAAAGACCATTTCACATACCCCTTTTCTTTCCAAACCACCTAAAACCTTCCGTAGATTGTAAAATCTTTGCTGCAAAACGAAGAAAACAATGCCATCGGGCATTGTCAAGTATCAGCCTCCATGTTATGTGGCCAAAGTTTCACCCAGACAACATTGCAAGGTTGTCAACATGCAATTTTGTATATGCCATGGGTTTAGGTCCGGACTTGTAAACCTAAACCTCTGGACTTGAATCCGGACCTGGACCTAAAATTGGGTTTAGGTATGCATCACTAACTGTAATGATACATGTAAGTTCACTGTACAGAAGTGACAGTGAAAACAGTGAACATAACAGTACAGTGAAAAAATCAGGAATTATAGTAAGTACATTAAGATTACAGAATTCATCTACAATATCAAGAATATTTGGCATACTTAAAAATATAATCATGCATATTGGACGTATCATAAATTAGACTAACTAGTACTACAGCTACAGCTACATCCAAACTCTACTGAACCAATGCTGTAGGAGCCTGTACTAACTCTCTATACACAAATTGGATGCAATGTTATTTAACCACATAAACTTAATTTCATGGATAGCATTTCTTATATTGTATCACTCAGTCTGTCTGCAAATGGCATTTATTGAATTAATCTGAAGACTACATATAACAACAAACTCGTTTTGTTTTCTTCTTTTTCTTCATTCTGTTTGTGCAAAAATATCCATTGTGTTACATTTCCACTGCATTTGCTGCTTTTTTGTTTTAAAATTTCTGATATCTTCTTTTTTAGTCTAATATTGACGTCAACCTTTTCATACTCAAAAGAATGTTATCCATGAAATGAGTTAATGTGCTTAAAGAGAGAAGAGAAAGAAAACTGAACAGACATGGATCACGATGGAACTCACTTCCTCTGGCAGTACAGTCAGAACCTCCAGTAGAAAAGGCAGGTTTCCTACTGTGTTTCCAAACCTGCAGGGAGGGGGGCACAGAAGTGGAGTTTTAGTAGTCCACATTTAACTTCATATGATACTACATTGTATTCTTTCCGTAGTCTGGAGACAACTGTACAGTCAAATCTGTATGTTTTAGTGACCACCTCTACATAAGGATCACCTGGCTATTGCACAAAAAGTGAGCTTTGGCAGTGTTGGTTACAGCATGTTGCAATTTTATAGCAAGAGGGATTTAGACTCCTGCCTGACCATATATATGAATGTGTGTTTGAGTAAGAATTAACAGAGCTGATCATATGTGAAGGTAAACATTATGCATTTTCCTTGCAAATGTTACCTTCCTAGTTTAAGTACTAGTAACTGTTTTCCTTACTTTTCTATGAGTTCCTTGGCAGGACACTTCCAGCCTGCTACCTGTAAGGCCAAGTCTGCCAGGGCCAGGGCCAGCTGGGGAGGGGGGCAGAAAAGAAAGTAAGGATCTGCTACAGTTCTGAGACTCTAGATCTGTATGTAACAAACCCTCACTGTCCAGTGCTATGTAGTACATATCTTGAATAATTTCCCATCTGTATGCTTGCAAATCATGAAAAGCTATCTACACTTGTACATGTATTACGAAAAAGTCAAGACCATAGCATGTTCATCCTTTTATCCAGAACATGCTACGGTCTTGACTTTTTCAAAGTTCTGCGGCAGTACCAAGGTCCGCTGCCAGGAGGCCAATATTTGACCTCGACCTTTGTCTCCCTACAACCTACCAGCGTACCAAATATCATCACAATCCATAGAGGCATTCTGAAGTTATGATGACTACACATGTGCGAAAACACATACACACACACACACAGACAGACCAAAAACAATACTTCCATTTTTGTATGGAGGAAACAGAAGAAGACTACTGACCTGTGTGATGATGACAGGAGAGGCATTGGACACCAGATTCTGGGCGTGGTTCAACAGCGACTCTTTCAGAGACTGGTCAACACAAAAATACCCATCAGTCCTTGCACTGTTGCCATGACAACAGTAGTGTACAGACTGTTGCTATGACAACTGTACAGACCGTTGCTATGACGACTGCACAGCACCGTGCAATGGTTAGTGTTACATCAAGTGCCATTGTTTTAATTAGATCCAGTTGTTTGATTGACGTGATTACAAACTACGTTACAGAATAGAAGGCAGTAACATGTAAATACGCTGGTTCTTGTGACTCTGTGACAACGAATACTTCAAACTTTGCAAGTGCCTTGAGTAGGTTGTACGTTGTAGTATGGAGGCTCGTGTATTTGCAAAAGTGTTTCCAAATGCAGAACAAAGTTTTGACTCATCTGCAAGATTGCGGAACATTGAAAAAAAAGTATTTCTACCACTGGAATCTATGGTACAAGTGTCACAAGAAGCAGCGTATTTGCATGTCTGCCTAACAGCTACGATGTGTTCATTACAGTTGAATCAGTACCTGGTGCGCTGATTGTGGAAGCTCGTGGAAAGCATACTGGATCTGTGGGGAGGGAGACCAACAGCACAATTGTTTATTTGTTTTTGTTTATCATTTATTTGAACAAGGAAAGAAATAAATCATGTCATCAACACAGATGTAAAAAGAATATGCAGGGGAGGCTAGAAACCTATTGGTTTTCCGTGCCCTCCTAAAAAAAATGTATAATAACAATCATTGTTGATCATGGCATATATGCAAAATGAAACAAAATTAAGAAAAAAAGCCAATGGACATAACAAATACGACAAAATATTTACATACCTTGTGTAAGCTATATAGTATCTAATATTAGTCCCTACATGGAATATTTACACAACGAAGATTTTACTGTCTAGATCTGCAATATCACATATGAAAGATCTTAAAATCTACTACTTTTTTTATCATGTCATATAAGTTTTATCATCTTCTTCTGTTGTCAAATACCTGATAAGTAATAACAAAAATCTGAAAATTACAAACAAGCAATAAAAAATACAGTGCCAAGAGTTCAGCAAATTATTTCTTTTAACTCTCTTTGTATCAGCTCAGTGTATTGGCAGTTGCTTGTTTGCAATGTTGTTAATGATTGGTCATTAATAAGTGAATTATCTCCTAATATCTATGACTTGATTGGTCAATCATCATGTAACCACCCTTGGAGGTAAAACACACAAGCAGGCAGCTGTTATACTGAACAACTTTGAAGTGCATAGCGACATGAAAGGTTGATTTCATACTTTGCAAAAAAATTATATGTCAGGAATTTGCCAACAGAAGATTGTACAAGGTAGATCACACAAGTACAAATGTAGTAGATTTTGGTGAAGTATGAGTTATATGTAGCACAAATACCACTGTAGGAGTCATATATTATAAATGTGTTCCAATTTAATTGGGAATTTCGTTGACATTGTGTCACTCTGACCTTGAAACTTGAAGGTCACATTGACTCCCAAGGACAACTGTGTGTTTAGGGAATTGTGCAGTAATTTGTACCATCTGAACAGCTGTGATGGACATGTGAGTGACCTCTTGGGACCATTACATGAGTTAATCCAGTGACCACTACATGTACAATCTGACCCAGGCTCGTTAACATAATGTTTAATTAGACATCAGGACAGAGATGATTTAATAACACTGCATATGTCAGGAGATGACACGTTCTAGTACTAAATGACTTATACTTCACCAAAGGGGATTGTTTTTGGCTTGTCTATCTATCTGTTTATGATAATGCAACATTGCTTAATATACTCAATACTGTAATTTATATCTATGAGACTGGAAGGGTTGCAAAGCACCGTGGGTAAGGTGGTGATGTCTACTATCTACGCCCTGTATTTCTACAATATTCTTTTACAATATACAATTATATCACATATTTCACATTTAGATATTGGAATATTCTACTGTAACAGTACTACTAACTGACTGAGACAATTTTGGCACTGTCCCTTAATGCCTTCTGCATAATTATGGACCTTCCCTCTGCTAATTGCATGCACTAATTACACACTAATTACATAACTATGGATGACCTAGTTTCTCAGTCACAATGTTTTCTTTGCTATGAAAATGTTGGTTTTGCCTCCTGGTTTAGTGGGTTATTCTATACTACTAATTATATTACTAAAGAGGTTAAAAAAATAGTATTTTTCAACTTACTAGTAACCAATTAAGATATAACTACGTATACAGACATCAATAAAATATAAAAATGTAATGATCACAAAATTGGTATTTCCCTGTATTATGATAATTATAATAATTATGATATTATGTAATCCTGTATGTAATAAATTGTTTATTCATTTTCCCAAGATCAGTAAAATTTCATAAATTTGTGGCATTCTCAACCACCATACCACGACAACAAAAAATAAACATTGTTTATAACAACAATTTCCTGTAAAAAAAACAAGGAATCTATTTGATATTTTAATAAGCACATATTGATTAAATTTGTACGGCCACATCGGACATTTGTTTTTATCCCCACAAGGGTTTGGCTGTGTGTTGATCTAGAAAAATTTCCAGCCAAGCCAAACAAAAGATGTGCCAACAACAAAGGACCTGAACCATTCACAGAAATGTCACAAGGCCCAAAATGTCAGCTAAACTTTCTATCATTCGTGGACTTACGCGACCATTACGTGCAAAGTACGGGGGAGGTGTACGATCGATGAAAGGCCGCGTTAATGTCATTTGTAGTTTATGTCCCTTTGGGGACGCCACAGAAATATTCTAGCACCAAGAAACAATGATAATGACTTTAATTCAATCTGACTAGATCGGTCTGTGTTCCCACATTGAAAATCAATCACATTGTGAGCTTCCCTTGGGAACTCAAAGTTCTCATTGAATAGAAATTGTAGACAGCCTTAAAAGTCTACATGTCTAAAAATAGAGGAACAGATTTTTCTATCAAAGAAAAATGTGGCATTTACCTAGATATAACTGCTTGACAAGTTTGCATTTGTGATAATTGCTATATATTGAGTTGTACTATATAACTTTATAACTTAATAAATTGTGTTAACTCAAGATGTAGCAAATCATTATCATTATTATAAATGAAAACATGTCAAGCAGTGTTAAAGGCCACAAATTTCTTCCAAAGAAAAATATGTTTTTAGATCTGATGCTTAGTACTGTTGGTGCTCATACAGGGACTTACTCTTACTATAAATTGCAACTAAACTAAACTAAACACATGTAAACCTCTCACATACACTTCTTATATACTTTAAAGTCAATAATGTTTGATATAGTAATAGTATATGGTTTACCTTTGTTCTCATGGTCTGTGCAGCAAAATAACTGGTTTCCAAGTCCTGGCCATTCCTTAGGAGTTGGTCTGCTACCTCCCATGCAAATACCTAGAACAACACAACATGCAAAATTTGTATGACAGTCACACATGTTGTGTGTCATGGTTCAACAGAGTTCTACTAGGGATTTTGTATATGGCCTAGGAAAAAAATGTTGCGTTTCCTTTTTGGGGTGGATCCATGCAAGGGACATGAATTTTTCAAGCTGATCAACCTCCATGATCTGACAACTGATTCTGAATAACGAACAAACAAACAAACAAGAGGTGTTGCATCTTGTTCTAGTGACAAGCCTATGTAAACAAAATTGTGTAATTGGTCTTTCTGTTCAGTTGTTTACAAACAACTCTATTCAGGAAAAAAAAACTTTTTCCTCATTATCTCTTCTATACATTATAAAGAAAGATATCTAAAGAAACATGTTACAATATTGGAACGTTTTCACTAGCCTAATAAAGAAAACTGTTGAAGTGTAACTAACAGTTAACAGTTACAAATAATTTCAAGCATTCAAATATTTGACAATGACAAATTTTGCATGCATACAGATGAATTATTATAATGCAAAGATAACATAATCTTGCATCTTTTTGGGGGAGGGGGTAATAAAGGGACTAGACATATATTGTCTACACATGCATAAAGACTGGAACAATTTAGTCCACAGTGCTTGGCTGTGAGTGAAACAAACAAATGTGTAACAATGGTTTGCTAAATAAAGATATTTTTATGAAGAAAATAGTTTTGATTGTTTCATTGGCATACATGTACTTCTAAACTAACATACAGCATGATCTACAAACTAGAAGACAAAATGTCCCTTTAGATTTTAATTTTTGTTAGGGGGAGACACTAAATGCAAACTGAACTGAATCACACATGTTCAACGATATTTCGCTACACGAGCAAGTTTTAAAATGTGATAGATTTTTACACTTTTCTTTCAATGCAGAATGCACTGCACAGGAAGAGATTATACACAGCAGGAAAATTATGACGATGGAGATAAAATTTAGACTGCATGAGCGAGGCAGTTAAACTTTGCCCCATGCACAGCGCGCTATTATGACAAAGTCTAAAGGTTGAGTCAGAAAACAAAAATTCTATATTTTCCACCACTCCAAGATTGCCAAATACGATAAATTTGAACGTCGAAAGGACTTCTTACACTAGAGTAGAATCTAACGCATTACTGATTGTAAAATTATATCAAATCTTGCGATAATTTCTCGCAAAATCGGCTCTCGAGGATTCGCCCCCCTCCCCCATGCTTGGGACAAAATACATCCGGTACTACTAAAGGCATACCGATCGCTGCAGTTCTCCCAGCCAAGCTGACGCTCTCTCTTTGCACGCGGGATCGGGGTTGTGGTACAGGGTTTGGATGGCTTGCACGACGGTCTCTGTACTCGGGGCCGAGTCCATACTGGCAGGACTTTGTGAGAAACAGAGCGGAGAAAAAAAAGCACGGAGGCTAAAATCTGTGCATTGCGCTAGATTCAATGGCGAGCTCCGCGTGCGTGAGGCATGACGGGAGGGGTCAAAGGGCATAAAAAGCAGAGGCGGGAAAATTTTGAATGGTTGCTAGAACCTTAGTCTCCTCCAGACTTCTTTTGCAGGCTGAATAAATCGTAGAAATCGGCGTAAAAAAGGTATTAATTGGCGAGAGAAGGTAGCCGGCCATCGACGATCAAATTGGCCTGCAGACTACCTTCTCTCGCCAATTAATACCGTTTTAGGCCGATTTCTACGATTTATCAGCCTGCAAAAGAAGTCTGGTGGAGACTAGCTAGAACCATGGAGGTTCAAATTGTACCTCCATGCAAGAACTTTGTAGAAGTTGAAGTAAGATTGCCAGCATAATATAAATACATGTACTTTGCAGACGAAGACTGGTACATGTACTTTGCAGACAGTGTAATGTACTGTTGCGTTTGAAATACATGTACATGTAAATGAATAAATCTTTGCAGACAAATACTAGTACGTGTACTTTACAGACGAATACTAGTGTACTTTGCATACGAAGTTTGCAAGACTTCGCAGACAGAACTAGTACATATGCACATGTACTTTGCAGACGAATACTAGTACATGTACTTTGTAGACAGTGTAAAGAACTGTTGCCTTTGAAATAAATAAATGTACTTTGAAGACGAAGTAGTTCATTTACTTTGTAGACGAATACTAGTGTACTTTGCATGAATAAAGCGGTTAATGCCCCGCCCCGAGGTGAATATGATGTGATAAAGCCTTGTCGGTTGCTATAACCACCGAATGAAGCCACCGAGTGAGCGCAGTGAACATGGTGGCTTTATGAGCCTGTCTTGGTCACTTCAGCACTTACACAATGTGCAGGTGAGTAGATGTGTGTATATGACCCGGATGTATATCATCCTATCGAGGTCAAGGTTCCGCCGTGTCATACCGTCCGCCATGTTTGTCACCATGACGTCACGTAGTGACAAAACTGGTTCTGCAGGTGCCACATTTAATACGCATGCGTTCTTTCAGCTGGGTTAGCGCTAAAAATATGTGTCTAAATGTACGTCACTCATCAAATCGTTCATATCTTGTGAAATATCATTGACATCTGACACCGCTAGTGCCATAACCGTAAGTTATTAACTCATCATTTTCCCCAAGGACTCTCATGTAATATTAATAGCATTGAACAATAGTAAAAGAGACTATATATCTTGTACCCTCCCCTTAAGGTATTTCAGAAACATGGCTGTCGGCCATTACTTGGCTCAATGTCATTATCAATCAGTCAATATATACCTTGCACTAGCTACACTAGCCTGCTGTAGGTCTTGGACTTTTGGTGCATAGGTTCTTTGCTATTCGTTAAAGATAGTGTAAGATCTTTGCCATATCATGTGCATGTATTATGTTTTCCCTCTGTATTACAGTAGACCGAATACATTAATATGACTGTATACATTCATACAGATTCACAATAATTACAGTGATCATTGTCTGACGTTTGACTGAACCTTGACTAAATTTCTGTTGCCTTTGCAATTTTAGGAACCCGTCACCATGGCAACGGGAATAAACCTTCAACCTAAGGTCGTCAACGGGCTGCTGACCCTTGACCTCAGCAACAGAGGTTTGACCTTCATTCCGCCTCAGGTGTTCCACCTTGTTGACCTTGAGAAACTCGTTCTTTCGAAGAACTTCCTGACAAGCATACCCGCGGAGATAGGCGCTCTGAGGAAGCTTCAGGTACTCGTGGTTGACGACAACTCTCTGTCTTATGTACATCAGAGAATCATTACTCTAGTCAACCTGGGGTATCTGTCGGTCCAACGCAACCAACTCGCGAAGATGCCCAACGGGCTTTCGAATCTTCGTGCTCTCCATGGACTGTTTATCCGCGGTAACAGATTCACCGAGGTCCCCGAAGAGGTTTGCTCACTCCTCAACTTGCAGTGGTTGGGCGTAGGAGACAACCCGATCCGGCACCTTCCGGAGAACATCATCCAGCTCACCAGGCTAAAGATCCTCAGCATCACCGGTTGCATGCTCGACGAGTTCCCGCAACAGGTACTGCAGATGCAGGCGTTGGAGGAGCTGTTTATGGGGAGATGGGCCGGAGAGGGCCGGCCTGCTGCAGTTCCCGAGAACATCGCTAGGCTGAAGAACCTGAGGGTCTTGACAGTGGACATCAGCGGGCTGGACTCTCTTCCGGATGGCGTGGAGCAACTGTCATCTCTGGAAGACTTTCGTATCCATGGCAACAACTTCACCACACTGCCTCCTCAGATTTTGAAACTGAGGAACCTCAAGAAGCTGAATTGTTCACAGAATAACATCAGCCGCCTTCCAATAACCCTATGGCGGCTGACTCACTTGAAAGAGGTAGATGTATCTGGAAACCCCCTGACATATCCTCCTCCTGATGTCTGTCAGAAAGGTACAGCCGCCATGTTGGATTTCCTCAAGGAGGAAGAGAAGAAACAACAAAAAGAGAAAGAAGGTATTGGTTCTTTTAACATCCTGAAACCCATTCACAGAAAAGTTACAGAAAAATGGGCTCTTCGTCTTTCTCCATCTCAAAAAAAAGACAACCCCGTAGATTTAGAGGCTAGCTTTATACACATGTACTAACTGTAATATGCAAAATTTCATTATGAAACCCAACAATATAGCTTCATCTCAGGAGATATAAGTATGCCTACGGTTTAGCAGTCTTTTCGGGAGCAAATAAGTCGTGATAAGCTGCCTTCTTCCATCCTAGACCGAGAGATCCGGTCGAGCTTCGCCCGTCTGTCACTCAGCGTGACCCCACCAGAGGTCAAACGGATGGCCAGGATGCTGGGACTGAGCAAGGAGGAAATCCAGACTATCATGGTAACATCTTAGCCTCTATCAGGCTTCGGGTGGCGGCTGGAAAAAGTAGAAATCGGCCAAATAGAGATATAACGTGAAAAACAGTACTCTCTACCTCCCCAAGCATCTTATCCTTCTTTTCGGCCTTTCTATTCTACTCTATCCATCTGCCTCCTGAAGCCTGGTAGAGGCTAGTAACATTTTACGCTTGCTTCGTTATCAACAAGAATGTTGTAAAATTAATGTACTATAATAATGTTTACTTCCGCAGAAGAAAAGCCTGTTGTTTTTGCTCCATTTCCTCTTCTTCCTGTCCAAACAAATAAGGGCAACGACCTAGACCAGGCGGCTGTCACCATAGTAACGGCTATTGACTTACATTAATGTAGCAAAGTGGCAGGACAGACCTACAGGGGCTGGTCACCATACACTATAAGGTGACTGAATTATGTAGCAAGCTGGCAGGATGAGCAGTAGCGAATGGTCACTTTAATTTTATATGCCGCGTACGGTAATTATGTACACATTCAGTGGTTATAGCCCATTATAGCATATTATAGACAAAGAATATAATAAAGGTATCGTTTTCTACTACATTCCTCCAAGCATGAGTCCCCTGACCACCCAGGCGACCAGGCTTACGACATGTTCCTGAAGTGGAGAGAGACAGACAGACAGAACAACACAGTCAACCGGCTCAAACAACTTCTGGACGAGCTCAACACTGCCAAAACGTCACGCCAACAAACCAATCTGAAGGTCTTTACTGTAAAATTATGTCACTCTGCATAATGTAATGTACACAATGTGATTTTTGTACGTTATGAATTGGGATTCTTTGCTGATATGTTTCATAGGTATAGTGAAGGAGACATAAATTTCTCGTTTAGAAATATTCCTGATTCTGACTTTTGATAGCCTCTACCAGGCTTCGGGAGGCGACTGGAAAGAGTAGAAATCGGCCAAATAGAGAGATAGCGACAGCGGCAAAATGTTCTCTCCAGCAAACCAACTCTTCTGGCATGCTGCAATGTATCTCTCTAGATCTATTTGGCCGATTTCTACTCTTTCCAGCCGACAGCCGAAGCCTGGCAGAGGCTATATGTTTGAGGCAGCATCGTTTCAGTCATTTCGTCTCACTATACACGATTGATTATTTTCTACTTGTTCATTAGGGTGGTGAGTATGCAGACGGATATCTTGTACCAGGGACGCCAGCTGGGGGTGATGAATCTCCAGGACGAGATCGGAGGAGATCGTCTGGAAGGTGAGTATTATGAAATCGTGTACGATGCTCCTACCTATTTCCAGCGATAATATAAAAGTAGGTCGTATATAGATTTGAGAAAAAAAAGTTGCAATAGTGAAACTCGTACTACATGTATTGCACCCGTTTATATTCTTCTCAAACCTACAACCGATGGCGATTCGTCGGAGAAAACACAACAGTAGTTTCATCGTATGATGTAAGTGGCTGTGGCTGTAGCATTAACCAAAGACTGCATGGGAGTTATCGCCCATCTCATGGCTTGAACTATAATCATAACCGTTAACATGCTAGGCCAGCGTCATTCATTAAAGTTACATATTTATTTATCAGTAGTATCATAACAATCACCTTGTGTTTTTCCTCTGTACAGTAGCGTCACGTCAGATGACAATCTGCCGATCATCGACAGCGGTGTTCTCCGCGGACAGGACTGGATCGGACAGGGCGGGTTCGCCAGCGTCTGTAAGTCCTGGCACCAGGAGTGGAGGATGCACGTGGCCGTCAAGTACATCAGCAAGATAGAGGTGGCGGCGAGGTAGGTTCTTATTTATCAATACACAGCAGTAACAAGGATAGTGTAGCGCTGCACTCAAGTTTAGAACTTATTTTAACAGCACCACACAACAAAATACAATTAACATATATAAAGTTGACATAACAGTGCGCCGAAGTCTCACTACCCCAAGACATTGACGATACAAATGCTAACCAGGTTATATAAAACGTTATTGAACAGGATTGAACAGGAGTGACTTCTATACTAGTAACTGATTGACGAGAAAAATGTCGCCGTCAATATAAGAATTACATATTGACCTGGTGTATCTGATTGGTAGAATTTGTGGATTTGAATCATTCTCCGACGTATGAGCCTAAAACCAAATGCCTTTTTGGCAAACTGAAAAAAAAAGCAATGTTTTCCTTCGGTAAACATAGTAAGTCTAAGACCTCCATTTTTTTCAAATAGTGAACAGCAGCTGCTGTACTCCGAAGCCCGGAAGTTGAAGGCCGCCAGTGTGTCTCCCTACATCATAGAGCTGTACGGTGTCTGTCTCCGGCCGCACTTCGCCCTGGTCATGAGCTACATGGAGAACGGCTGTCTGGGCTCGCTGCTGCGCCGTGTGGACGTGCCCTGGGCGCTCAGGTAAACAAAACATGTCATACTAAACAAATAGGTATAAACAAAAGTTTAAATACAAACTATTACTCACTACATAAGAACGGCTGTCTGGGCTCGCTGCTGCGCCGTGTGGACGTCCCCTGGGCGCTCAAGTAACGAACTTGGTGACAGACCTGTTTTGATGTTTATGCTCTTAAACAGAGTGAGTAGCCCTTGGACCACAATTTGCCTCTTTAACGACCGAATCATCAAAGGATTTGCGCATTCCAGCTGATTAACAATAATCATTATTTGTCAGATATAGCCTTAGTTCTGTAGTTAGTTGTACCTGTTGCGATGTTAATGCCTTAAAGATCGGTCGATTGATTGGCTGGTTGTTCGATTGATTGATTGATTGATTGATTGATTGATTGATTAATTGATTGATTGATTCAGGTGGAGAATGACGTATGAGATCTCCCTGGCCATGAACTTCCTGCACTGCCTGGACCCACAGATTCTCCACTGTGACCTGAAGGCCGCCAATGTCCTCTTGGACGGAGACTATCATGTCAAGGTAAGTGTTTAAAGTTAAAACTTTTGATCCAACAGAACAAAGTTCTCTCACCTAGAGCTTTCGACCAGTCACTCTGGTCTTCCTCAGTAGACTGACCCAGTGAAGCTTGTCACGTGGCGTCTTTGAAGTGTGACGTCAACATTGTGTCAAAGGTATCTGGTAGACGATGTCGGCCCCCGTTGCGGTTGAGTGAAAGATGGTGGGCCCTGATGTAAATAGCCTCTTTCACCCCTCTCAGGAAATAGTTTTTAGAGATGCTAAAAAATAAAAAATAAAAGATTGAAATGTGCTAATTTGAAGCAGTATGTGTGACGCATGTGTCAATATCACAAAGATTGCCTTATTCAGAATATTTCCAGTTGTGCTGCCCTGAAATCACTTTTAGATTTCCCATTCACTTCACAGATAACTGACTTCGGGCTGTCCAAGTGGAAGAGCCGGTCGCTGGTGCTGACCACAGTCAGTCCGATGGGCACCACCATCACTCACGCCCCGCCGGAGTTCCTCAAGGACGTCAGCCGCCTGCCTGACGCTGCATTCGATGTGTACAGGTCCGACATCTCACTTAGCTCTTAGGACAGTATCCAATAGGCCAAGCAATGTCTATGGACCGCCCTGCAATTGTATATTGTCCATAGGTCACTGGTTCACTTGAATTAATCCTTTCTAAACTACCTTACAGTTTTGGAATCCTTATCTGGGAGATAATGACAAGGAAGCAACCCTTTGCAAGTAAGTAAACAAATTCTTCAATCTTTCAACACATTGGGAGCTTGTCTAACTTTTCGTTCATCGATTTTGATACTATCCTCTGTACATCGTCACCTTATCTATATCACGCTAGATTTCTGTTACGCATTTCCCTTTGTGCGTTCTTGCGAAGCTAAAACATTTCTATCATCGTCTGTATTGTCTCACAATTCAGACGGCTGCCAGGATGCATGTATGTCGTGTGTTAAGACCCAATAAACGAGTCTACTAGTACTACTACTACTACTACTACTACTAGCTCTGGCATCACAATGTACTACTACTACTACTACTACTACTACTACTACTACTACTACTACTACTAGCTCTGGCATCACAATGTACTACTACTACTACTACTACTACTACTACTACTACTACTACTACTACTACTACTACTACTAGCTCTGGCATTACAATGTACAATTCTGTAATAATTCCTAACTTTCCCTTGCCAGACGTGTCCCATGCTGAGTACATAGAGATGGCGGTTAAGATGGGCCAGCGGCCGGACCTGCGGGAGGTCCCCACACAGCCGCCTGACGTCACCAACATGAGCAGACTGATGCAGGAGTGCTGGGCAGAGCGGCCTCATCACAGACCTTCCTTTAAAGGTAACTACACTCGGGTCAAAATGTCGTACGAATGGTGTACGAATGTCGCACGATCGCAAGTCATTCTTCGGACAGACGTGTCTTTCAATTTACAATTCAAAACTGATACTGCTATTACTGCCAGATAGTCTCAAGTGGACCAGGAAAATACTTTTTTCTAGGACTCCTGACTTGCATAGCCCTTAAGCGTCAGATGAACTCATGTCTTCAAAATGTTTTGTTTATTTTAAAGCCATTGATGTCATTGCCAGTCATTATAGAAAAGCAGTATGTACTGTACTAAAGCAATAACCTTACATTTTTGTAGAGTGTTCTGATTGGCTGCGGAGAGGATACCAGAGGTACAAGTCTTACGTCAGAGACGCCATCGCTACTGTGGAACGGAGACAGGTAAAGTTTATCTCTTTTCTAACTGATTATTTGTAGTTAACATTTTTATAAGGTTTACTGATTTAATGATTAAGGTTTAATGATTCACCGCTTCACTCCATTTCTTTCCTTTTATTTATCTGGGCGGGTGTTAATGAATATTGACATATATAGACGTCATGCGCACAAACTGATTTCTTTATTTCTTTCACCGTCATACATTTAATTGAGAACAACCAACGTAGAGTTACTTTAGAAGACAATGGTCATTTACTTGTTTATAATAATCGCTTTTTCCTTTTTGTATTCCAGGCTAGACGAGCATCCCAGAATCCACAGTAAAATAAGAATGGAAACTATTTTCCGTACCCTATAAAGTTCAAATACTTGAGATCGGTGATACAACATTACTGTTCAGAATATGAATCTCTTTCGTTTGCAAATGTATCGCGCATGTATGCGAAATATTTTTAATTATTAACATTTTGAATGATATAATTGGATCAAAGTTTTTTTTTTTTTTATAATTGCAACATTTATTGGCAAAACATGGTGACGGCCCACTGATGTTTATGCCGCCAAATCGGATCATAGCTCAGAATGCAACTTAAAATTTAGAAGACAAGCCATGTAAATATACTGTATGCATAGGGGTATTTTGCTTAATCTAGGTGTTGGTGAAGTGTCTGTTATATAATTAAAAATGATTGCAGTCTTTTGTGACCGCAGTAAAGTATATCATGTTGATAATGCTCAAGTTCAGAAAGTACAAATTATTGATGTGGTGATCTCCTAAATGATATTAGTACTGTAATGATATTTAAGTTTTGAAGAACAAATATCAATGACTGTACATTTTTTAATAAAAACTGGCAAAAACTCAAAACTTCATCGCAAGCATTACGATTCACAGTTTTGTTTATTTGTATTGCATTTTAATTTTGTTCCTATAAGAAAACTTGGCAATAAAGCTATGTTTAATGTTTGACTCCCTATTTCTGTTGGGTTATAAGTCTGTTTTAGTCTTTGAATTTGTTATTGGGTTGACATTAAGGGGTACCAGAAGACTACATGATTTTACGAGGTCTCATTATATATTGCTAAAAGTAGCACACATAACGTTGCTTACGTTGATTCGTATTGAGCCCCCTTCCCCCTTACTGTTACACACTACCAAAGAAAACCCACCCGTGTGGAAAAGCAGGACTATTTTGTCCCATTCACTACTGAAGACACAGAATCAAAGGTCAGTCTGTAGATCAGTACACATCACTGCTCGCCACACCTTAAACGACTATAATAGGGTCGTGACGTATGTACAAAACTGGTCTGACAAGGCAACACCTTCACATTGTAAGGTCAAACAAAAATCAGCACAACATTAGCACCATTTTAGGACAGAACAGAGGCCTCTTTGGACATAGTATATATATATTGTGTTACTGTGACTACAGGTAGGTTTGTACAATTGTTATAATCTACAATGTACAAGACGACGAAATAACATTGTATTATACATGGTAATTTATGGGCCTAACGCACATTGTTACTGTTATAGGTGGGGTGGGGGGCACATCAGTACATTTTGTACTTAGTACAAAGCGTCAATTCAATTTTCTTATGGTGAAAGATGCTTCATATTTGTTTGTTATTGCTGTTAGTTACTCTAATTGTTGCACTACATAAATACTTTATCATGAAGAAAGTCCTTGTAGCTATTGTTCGAATTTAGTCATTTTATCCGTAGTATTACATACGACCTAAAAGAGCATGTTAGACACACTATCATCTTTGTACGTTGGACCATGATCAGCAAGTAACACCATGCTCTGTCTTCTTTCCCTAGACATGACCAGTAAAAGATCATACACCTTCAAACGGAAGCCCTCAGCAGGTCCAATGACCCTTGACCTTCAAGGTCGCGGGCTTTCCTCCATCCCAGACAAAGTCCTGAAACAGAAGCACATCCAGTGCCTCATTCTTAGAGACAACAAGATCAAGAAAATCTCCAAGAAGATCTCAAAGTTCGACTACTTGCTCACCCTTGACGTAAGCAACAACCCTGACCTGAAGTTCATCCCCAGACAAATCGGCAAGCTCCCCAAACTCTACAACCTGCACTTGGAGAACTGTGGACTCGAGAGCCTACCAGACGAACTGTACAACCTGCACACGCTGGGAAGCCTCAACTTGAAGGGGAACAAGCTTTCTGCACTGAGTACAGAGATTACCAAGCTGCAGTCTCTCAAGCAATTGTTTATCGACAACAACCAGTTCATGGAATTTCCTGAAGAGATCTGTGCACTGGCAAACTTGGAGGTTCTAGGATGCGGACAGAATCCGCTGACACGTCTGCCAGACAAGCTCACAATCCTGAACCTCAAGTCTCTCACCATCTCCTGTTGCCGGTTTGAAGAGTTCCCAAGGCAGGTGCTGTCGCTAGGGGGCCTTGAGAGGCTATACATGGGGGGTTGGGCTGGCTCGAACACGCATTCTCCCGTCCCTGAGGGCATCGCACATCTACAGAACCTCCGACTCCTGGCGGTAGACCAGAGTGAACTTTCTCATCTACCCGAGAGCATCATACACCTACAGCTGCTACAGGAGCTGGATCTGTCCATGAATCTCTTCACAGCCGTCCCGCAGGTTTGTTTGTCTATTTATCTATATTGTTTGCACATAAATACAACAAAAATACATATGATACATCAAATACAAAAAATACACAAATTAGGTTGAAGTGATACTGGGGTTTTGTAGTTTTTATAATCTTTTTTTTTTAATTGGTAATGACTGACAACCTTGTAGTATTAAGCTTATTAGTAGTTCTTACAAATCGTACACCTACAGGTATCTGTATCTGTATAGGCCTTATAAGCTCCCGTCGGCGTAACACACCAGCTTCGTAGGCACGCGGCGTGGCGGCAGCTGGCTACATCATACCGATCGACTTGTTACACCTAACCCTTGAACATCTATCTCTAGACATTGTTTAAAGCTATCTAATAACGATGCCCCTACTGTACTGTGCACTAGGTAGTGTTCACCCTCCCCAGTCTGCTCGCCCTCTACATGGTGGGCAATCAGCTCACGCGGCTGCCGGTCGAACTGGGCCGCCTACCGGTTTTAGAAGATATTGCAGTATTCGACAACCCCCTGGAATACCCTCCAGAAGATATCTGTAAGGAGGGGAGTGACGCCATAATCGACTTCCTCCGAGCAGAGGACGCAAGAGTAGTACCACTGGAAGGAGAGATGGGAGGTAAGGGTAGAAAATAAAAGGAAGACTAGTTGGGAAACAACGAAAGAGATTGTAAGGCATCGACCTTTATCATAGATCAATGAATTGTAACAACTTCCAGTTAAAATTGTTTGATGGCTTTTGCTTTTTTAAGTAACATGTTTGTCGTCTAATGCTACTCATTTCTATGATCTACAGCACAAGGCCATCACCCCACTCCAACCACGGAACTCTGAGTGACAGTACACGGGAATTAACCGATTGAGAAGCAATCTTGTTGATAAAAAAGAGGAGGAATACTACTTGATACTATAGGCGTTGTTAAGCTTCAGCTTTAGAAAGGTACGATACTGTTTAATACACTAGGCGTCCAAATTATGTATAAAGCTATGATTGTTGACATTCTTTGCCATGAAAGTATAAATACTTTAAAATATTAAAAACATATGACGTGTTTAGGATATACGGCGAACGTAAACATCGTATTAAGAAAACATCTGTCGTCACCCTATGTACTATAAAGTGAAATATCATAACTTGTATTTTGAAATCTAATTGGCAACTGTCGTTATAATGTATCTGTTATAACAACTGTCTGTATCTGTATTAATATCACATATCTGACATGCCTGTATATATGCAGTAAAACAAATAGAATCAAAATTTGGGTTTACTTTAGGTACCACTGTGTACAATGCAACTATAATGCACAGGTGTCTCATATGTCTAATAGTGTATTCTAAGTTATTCTTTTCATCATGTACCGCAGTAGGTTATAGTGACACGGAAACCATATTGGTTTTAGTGTGAGTGAGTTGCGTTAACTAGTGGATATGGCGTCTAATGTTGTCATTAGAAAAGGATTCTTTTCTCGGTTTAGCCCACTTGTGGCATATTATCTGAACTCTATGGAAAGAAAAATAAAGTAGTAATATGAAGACTTACGATGAATATTATGCGTCGTTGCATTCATTTATCTCTATGACATGTAAATCATGAAACTCATCCTGTTTGGAATCAAATCACTTAATCGTGTACAATTGTTTTGAATTTGTCGAAGAGAAAGCTATAAACGCGATTATCGTTCATTATCACCTATATGTGTTATGGCATGTGAGCATCTAGCCTACGGCACGTTTACCGGTTGTTCAGGCACCTTACAGTAATACGCGTGCCACCTGTCATCTGAACCGTATCATTATCAGGACCCCATTATTTATACTGTAGGTGACTCACAATTCAGTATGCCCCTCCCATGTGCCAAGTATCAATCTAATATATCTATAGCTACTCACATATTTAACTGGTAAAAATGGCTCGTTACTTCTAACCTAAGTTATTAGGTCTACGATTTTTCTTGTAGTAATTTGATGCTATGGTGCCATAACATGGCAAAGGTATTGAGTTTTTTTGTTTAGCAACGACCCGAATGTAAACACAGCAAGGCCTAGGGGTCACACTGTCTGAGGTTAAAGTTCACATTCTTTGTGGTTTAAAGACGCTTTTGTCAAATGTATCTTACCATGTGAGCACATGTAAAAAAACGTATAACTCAAGTTGGAACGGCAGTGTCTAAATGTACTTGAGTCAGTCTGTGGATTTCAAGGAATGGATAGGGAACGTGTTACCGCTTTAACTGTTTTGGTGACCGTAAGTAGAAATGATTACCTCTTTCGCCTTTTAACAGGTTGTTTCCTGTTTCCAACCATACCTTCAAAGAAAGGCATAAAATCCATGGTTATATATGTCTTAAAATTGATTTGACGTTGCTATTTACTACCTACGTAAAGGATTAGTAAAATTTCGTTGTTTTGCTGGTATAATGTAGCAAATTGGGTCGACCAGGGGTCGGTGCGTTCATTGCTAAGCAATATCTCAGTCCCATTGGCAATTGCGTAATTATTATAATAGGTAACTTGTTCCTACTATTTCAGATTGCCGCCTTAGCAGTCGTCAGCGTGGACACAAAAACAAGCTGCAGATTATGCAAACCAGGTAAATAAGGTCTGAGAAGCATTGTACAACACAATACTTCAAATCTGTATGCACGCCTTGTGTAAAAGTATCACACACATGACATGAACGGCAGTTAATAGGTATTTGCGTGATATAACCTCTCCATGTACTGTCACAGTGGTAGTTGGTGTGTTGTGTGAATGTATCATTGACTATGTGTCGTTCACATCTCCACCATTAGCTCAAAAGAACGTATCCGTTTTGAATACACTTTATTTATGTGTATTTCTGAAAATCTGTTTTCCCTATGTGACTGTGTTGACGGACGTTCTTTGCTATTGATTTGCCACCCCTTATTTCAAGATTTTGAAACACGTGAAGCGCATAGATAACTTTGCAGAAGCAATGACCAGAATATTGTTCACAGGGTACCACATGGTGAGAAGATGTAAGGAAGATCAACCAAGCACAACAAGATGTGCCAGGTGCCCAGCAAATTCCTACACGGACATTCCGAACTTGGAGAAGGGGTGTTATCCCCATCGCAAGTGTAACACCACCAAGGAAACTGTGGTGTTCCCTGGAAACTCAACACATGATGTTATATGTAGACTTTGTGATGGAAACAACCATCCTTGTCAGCAAAGTCAAGAGTGTCCACCAGGAGAAGGCGTTAAAATAACAGGTAACTACCACGTGTGATTTTTTTATGAATACTCAACACTTAGCAAGTTAGTTATATTCTTAAAGAAAACATATACCACACAAGATGTTAGACCACAGAAAATTGTTACCTACATAGGACTATAACCTTCCAATTTTCTGTTTACTTCTGTATTAGGGGGATGCGGGCTATGTCTTTATGGAACCTTCAATAACGAGAGTTCTAGCACACTGCCATGTCGGCCCTGGACAAGGTACATGTCTATTATATTCAATATAATATTGTCTAGTATGTTCTACACAATTCCATTTGAATATTATTGAACGATATGTCAAAGACATGGTTTTAACGTTATCTTCTTTCAGGTGTTATGACCTAGGGCTTGTCACAATTAAAGGAGGAACCTACACAGAGGATGCTACTTGTGGATATAGAATATTAAATGGTCATGGAGGTAAGATTATCTCACAATACAAAATCAAGCAATCATAACAGTGCCGTGTTTTTATGATAGGATGTCTTCGATATACTAAATGCACTGGCTTTACAACCAAGCCTGCTGCCATGTTTATGTTTACAGGTTGAGCTCTTTCTCAAATTTTTGATAAAATTACCAAAATTATTTTTTATAATTTTAGATATAAAATATAAATCTATAACTTAGGTTTGTTAAGTCTATTCCACGTGTGACTCACCATGTCTCTTTTACCTTTTGCAGGTTCCGACCTAAGCGTTGATAAAGCTATCCACACGTCTGAGGAATCTAACAAGATAGAGGAACGCAACTTGTTAATCATAAACACTTTTATCACTGGGGTAATGTTTCTTATCATACTTTGTTCCGTGGTTTTCGTCGCATCACAAAAAGCGTGCAGGCAGAAAACATGTAAGTAACCAGTGGCAGAGTTGATTTTCTCACATTTTTAAACTTTTGAATCAACAACTTTACCCACATATCATTTAGTAGAACCTTGATAATTTTTCAAGTTTAGATTTGTCCATTTGATCACTATAGTAGTCTTCATATTTTTTCTTGTTTTCATACATAACTGAGAGGTTGTGATCGTTGATATTCTTGCATTTCAGATGAGGAAGGAAACGAGGCCTTGCCAATACAGTGTGAGGACACTCATCCAAAGGAACTGGAGGTATGCCATCAAAAATGAATAATAGGGAAACTATTATCATTTTATATGAGGATTGTGAGATATGTTTAAGAACTTTATGCCAAGCACAACAGTAACAACAATGATATGAGTCATCCAGACAGCAAATGTTTTATACTTTATACTTTTTTTAGCCCCTTAATCCTTTCTTTGCTTCAGGCTGCGTGTAGCTTCAACAGTGCATCACATCTTCTTCCCGACCAAAGCACAAGTGACACACTCCCTTCCTCATCAACAACACTAGCAACACATGATGAACAAGAAGCCAATGAGTGGTCACCAATGATTGCACCATCATTGTATGTTCAGGTGAGGGTACAATACGAAAACAAATCATGTCATAACTTTTCTGTTATTATGTTTACCGTTTCCTCTTCTTCTTCTCCAAACAGTGACCTCCGACATGGACAATGAGCTGAATTTTTACGTCTGTCACCATGGTAACTGGTGTTGGGTTGCATAATGTTGCAATTGTACAGTAGGAGGGATTTAGACTCCTGTCAATTCGTTCAAGTCGTTCTTCAATTTTTGCAGAAGCAACTGATCGTTTCCTTTTTATGCCATTGATACAGCAAGCACTACCTGAAGACCAGGGTGCCTGCTATGGGTTTCCAGTGGCTGATGGGTTCCACACATTGCCCAAGGCAACGACTTCTGCCAACACGGCTTCAGACAGACGACATGACTTGCCATTCAGGCCCATGTCCTGCTCCACAGATACCATCCCTTCAACTTTAGCCTCCTCACATGAAACTTCTGCATCCAGCCTAGAGTACCAGCAGAAAGTTAACTCCGCTCTGTCTCTATCTTATGCAAAAGGTATGTTGTCATTTTGATCACTTGTTTATCAGAACCCTCTTTTTAATTCTCCCTGTGGTATTTCTGAATTCTTCTAGTATGTAGTTTTTTTCCTTGGTATTGTCATAATGGTATTTCCCTTTTGTTTTGCAGTTCTCTCAGCAAGTGCAACCGAGGAACTGAAAGCAAACCTTGGGCAGCAGTGGACCGAACTCGCACGTAGGCTAAAGCTAACGGAGCACCAGATTAACCAGATTTTAAATGAGAACAGGTCAGATTTGCAGGCTCAAATTTACAGCATGCTTCGCTGCTGGCAGGATGGGAAGACAGGAGAAGATACAATCCCTGAGCTATATGGTGCTCTTAAAGAGTGCAATCGTCTGGACATTTTGCAAAAGCTACAGGCTTTGGAAAAATATGATAAGCAAATGACCTCTGTCTAAAGAAATTAGAACATTGATAGAAGGAAAACAAAACAGTGGGGTTATGTGGCGCAACGACAGAGTGCGTGACTCGGAACCTAGAGGTCCCGGGTTCGAGTCCTGACATGCCACCGATCTTGTGCCCTTGGGGGAGGCACTTTACACGACTTTCCTCACTTCGCTCAGGTGTAAATGAGTATTGTCCTGTAATGTATTTGTCCCCTGTGTTGGTGGCGGCATTAATATAAGTTGAAGAAACTTGAGTGTGTCGTCACCACGTCTGGTGATTACATGTTGGAATAAATAAAAAAAAAATTAAAAAAAAAAGGAAAACAACAAAAAAAAAACAATTTTGAAAGTAATTGATTTTGAATGTAATGCAATTTTGAAAGTAATTGAGACATGACCACCCATGACCTAATGCAATTAACAAAAAAGATCATTATCATTTTTAATTCATTATCATTTTTAATTCTAGGATAGCCTAGTTTCTTAGACATGGGATCCCCTTGAAAGAGGACTTAGGTATTTATTGCAACTTGTGGATGTGAGTGGATAACTGTCAGTGATCGAGTGAGTTAGTGTTGAGTTATCGAGCTTTCTCTAGGGTTTTAGTTCTGTGAAAATATGTACGCTGTACATTTGTGAATATAATCTATGCATTTGACAGGTCGCGTAAAATTTAAAATGCATGTAAAACATAAAGTAAAATGTAAGTTTTCTTCATCGTCCTGCATGGGACTTAGATAGTGTGTGCTTAAGATGTTTTGGATGTTTTGATAAATCTTAAGGCAGTTAAATCTTGTTTTGATACAGATTAACTAACATGAGCAGTGCAATATTTGTACACAAAGTATCGTGGCTTTAGTCTTGTTTTAAATGTTTATCTTCCATGTTTTTAACATCTGTGCTGATTGTACAGATGTAAGTAAAGCTACAATTTAACAACATATGTATTTAGCCCATTTTATCTGCATGAAACATAGTATAAAATACTATGAAGTTTATATGAGCAATGTAAATATATATCAATGGTCTCAAAAATGTATTGTCAAATTCGACCATTGATGTAAATGATTATTTTCGTCTCATACTACAGAGTCTTTGTAAGGTCAATTAGTTTCATAGCATGCTAGGTATATCATAGACTAAGCAATAGATATTATACCCTGTATATCAAGAGTGTTGTGAAATAAATTCTACTTCATATAACCATGAAAGGAAATCATTTACTGAGGATCTGAACATATGGGAGAGAGAAACTAAGGAACTGACTATATAGACTTATGAGTCTCCCGTTCTGTAAAGGAAATCTCCATATCGGGTATCTAGGCAATCGTGGAGACTTTTATCGACAGTTTCATTTATAAATGGCGAACCAGTCGTTCAGCAAAAAGGTAAACCTGACAGAATATCAAGTGGACGTCGACAAAAATGACAAACGGAAAAGAAAAAAGGAAGCGTTTTTTTAAAGGAGGTTAAAAGAGTTGTTTCGTGAATTAAGAGATATAACGTTACATGCTAAATACAAAGAAACATGAACCTGTCCGGCGCTTGACAACCAAAGGCCACTTCCGGGGTTATCATTCATCTCGCTATATAGTTGGTAACTTATTCAAAATATAGGGATCCTAGAAATGTTGACCCTTTAAACTGTAAACGAAGATCAGTTTTAGTTTAGTTAGATTTTGTTTCAAAAAGATCTTGAATGACATATATCCGGTGTCAGTCAAAACATTTGTCTTACGGATATGACATCATAACTCCGCGGAGACATCCTGTAGTCTATAACTTAAGGCTTTTATCAGGCCTATGAATGGAGCAATTGGTGAATTTAATGGGGACAGCTATTATATCACCGTCCTTGTCATCACACCATCTTTCTAGGATCTAAGTTCTAGACTCCTACTGTCGACCATAGATATGTTTCATCTGCGCCGACGGATATGACGCATCTGTTGACCGACGGGTCTTGCGCGAGCTTATGCGGCCGTTGTACGTGCAGGTTCGGGACTCAGGTTCCAGGTGTCATGAAAAATGGCGGAAGCAGAGAAGGTTGCCTCTGGCCGGTCTGCGGTTAACGCGGTTTCTGGGGTAAACGACAATTGCCAGGTAAGTTTCAACAGAGTAACAACATTATCAATGGTTTTCAAAGATGTGATGATGTTGTACTAGTCTTGTCGAGCCCGAGAGAGGCAGCTTATTAAAGGTAGACATGGTTCGCACGTGCAAATGTGCCATGGTTGTCACCTATTGCCACTGCAATAAGTCATTCCGTGTCATATGACACGCGACAAAACGGAAAACAGTGCACTAGTGGGATACTTCACGTTTCTTTCAAATGTATGTGATACATTTAGCCTACGGATCGCATAAATTGCGTAGTATTTTTGCAGAAAGTCGACAAAATAGTTAGACCGGAACCACAATATTTGAACGCCCTCCCACGACCCACCTCATCTTGCTTTTAAAGTTATAAAACAGCTAACATACTGGTGCCGCTCCATACATGTTCTCTTGCTGTTTAGGCTAAGGTAGTCACAATAGAGGTGATTCACGACAAACGAAAGGACCGAATTTTCACGAATTTGTACTGCTAACGTATATACACAAGCGCGTATGGCATATCAAAATACATGTATGTTTGTTCAGCACCATTGACAGCACAACACAGGAACCTTCCTATTCATTTGCAATGAATTTGTCTTTGGACTACTAACATACCATCAGAAACAGACAATTTCTGAATATTGTTGAAAGAGTGTGTGCATGATCAAGATGTGTACATATACCAACTCACAAAATGAAATATTTGAACATGGTTTACAATTAGAATTCCGTGGTTAGTCATTCATGTACATTTTACCTAAACCTTGATACCAAGTCTAAGGAATGAGAGAATATTTTTCCCGTAGGCAAAATTCATGGGTATTTCTAGTGGCCACTTGATACCATCATGATGTTCACAGATAGTTTTTAAAAGTGTTCACACATTCTGGTATTACTTAGTAACAACTTCGTCAATTCTGAAGTTGGTACATACCAGGAATCTATAAGGTAAGTGTATGGCACCACTATGATAGCATATGAATCATTCTGTTACAGTTTGGTGAATGTTGTATTTTTTGTGTATAGTGAGGTGAAGCCTAACCATAGGCCTCACATATAGACTCAGACATAATATGCCAGAAAATGGACTGCAATGAAGAATATGCAATCATATGAGAAAATGTAGTTTCTAATATATACGCAGATAGGACCCTTATACAGTAACTGTACTAAGTACAGATATTGGGATGTTATTCTACGGACAGATTATGAAATACTCGTTTTGGTTTGGTACTGAAGATTGGCCAACGAGGCTTATCAATACTAAATCATGTTATTTTCTAATGTAAGCTCGGATGGATAGGGGCGCCATGGTATCCACGTTATATTAGTTGGGGCAATCTGTAATGTTTGTCAAATCACTGTTCATAATGGCTTGAAACATTATCCCTAATGTCTTTCTTGTCTCTACGCCAGAAAGTGTCTAAAAACCTGTAACAGGATGAGAGAGTAAAACTTATTTACTAGATAAAGGTTTCGGCCACTTTGTACATCTTTGGTTTTTGACACTCGTGCGCACAATTTGACCTAAAATTTAGAGGAGCGGTATAGCTGAACTTTAAACAAAAAGAATGGCGCACCCTACAAATAACTCGTACAGAACAATATTGTCATTAATTCGAGCGGTTGGTTTGTCTTGGTTCAAATTTCATATCTACACCCAAAAGACGACGGCCAGAATCAATGGACGACTGTTGAATAAGACAACCTTTGCCCTCTGCTTTGTTAAACTTTTCCCGCCATTCGTCTGAACCTACCCTGGAGACTAGGTCATGACCTTGTCAATCAAGATGACAAAAGGCAGGTGTTACCTGTACACATTCTATAATACCGTGTGCTTTGTCAACATGCATGCCATGCAATGGTCGGTTCCTTATTGGCTGGCCAGAGTCGCATACCTTAAAGGGCTTTGTTGATGGTGGATATTTGATGTTTGCTTCTGGTGGCAGCTTTGTTTAGTCGCCTCCTTAGGTCATGATGGGTTAATGATTACCGAAGCATGAATGTCCCTGGCACGTCACTATTCATATAGGCAGCCATTGCATAGAAGAGAGATGCCTTTAAAAAAGTTTCCAGTCTGAATCCTACTCAACTGTACTGTCCTGTCGTTTCAGGAAGTAAGCCTTCATTGATGGCTTAAAAACAATTAAATCAATTTTCTTACATTAGTCAGTTTTTACGATTATAAAAAATCATTTTAATGAGGAAACAACTGATTTTGGGTGTACGTATCTGTATTGGTACGTATAGCCGAAGGGCGGTTATACCTGCTATACCGATACAGATACGTTTAAAACGCCTTCTTCTGATACATGTAACAGCAGTTACAAAAGTATAAATTTGTCAGAACGGACATGACTACATCGGCTTTTTAATCCCGTATTTAACATTAGGACAACGTCGCGAGAGAGAACCTCGAACCAGGCGTGTACCTGTACATTGCGGTATCCATTCTGAAGAATGCTTTCGTCGGGGTACCAGTGGTCCTGGAGAAGCCACAGCATGCCAGGACAGGCAGGAAAGAGTTTACTGTCAGCCTGGCTATGTGGAAAGATGCTTGTCTCCTCGCCATGTACAAAATGGCGACGTCACCCCGCAGGAGCTCACTGCGGGGGACATACAGATCAGGGCATTGGACAGGTACATATTATAAACATGTAAACATCAACTTAACAAGAACATTGTTATCATCATTTGTTGTTCCCCATTGAAGCCTTTTCATAATATCTGATTTCCGAACAATGGCATGCATATCGCTTGCTGTTATGAATCAAAGCTTCATTGTTTTTGAATATGTAATGAATTGGGCCTTCGTGCCTGACACAAAGAATAAATAAGTGATAAATCATTAAAGATCTTGAAAATTGCAACAGTCCTGAAAGTTAGATAGGAATATTCCTATTATTGTTATTGGATAATTAGTCTAATTAGTCTAGTTTTTTTCATATTCAATTCTTTACTTTATTAATACATTGCCAGGTGACTTACTCTGATTTTCTCAAATATTTACCATTTAGTATCCTTGAAGTCAAGGACGTTCATGACACGGTCAAGGGTCTTATAGAAGATGGGCTGAGAAATATGATATTCGACTTGCCCGGGACACCCGTGTCAACAAGAGCAAGACAGCTGAAGAAATTGTAAGTGTTTAGACGGTGATTTGATGTCTAAGACATATTGTTTAATGCTACAGGATTGTAGGTGTCTTATCATTCAATGATATTGTGATGGTCTGGCAATAATGTTTTATACATTCATGATAATGGTTTTATATGTGTAATTTTCCAGCCGAACACTAGATGGAGGAGTGGTTATCACCATCAGTTGCGCGAATTTCAACGGGACTGTAGGGAAAATGCTCGTGGTCTGGGATGGACAGGAGAATCCTCTTCCCTTCATACTAAATAAGGTAACGGAATTGTCTTATGCGAGTACAACAAGAAAGTTTCCCTTTGATTCTTGTAAATTTGCGATTATTTGTTTATTGGCTGTTCAGCACGCACAACCAGGGCAGCTTATACCTGTTGTAGCAATTGTTGATATTGGAAAGGGCTAGACTTGTTTGCAAAGACATTACAATCGAATTATGCATTACAATACAAGTTTTGGATTCAACACCTTGACATGATGTAGCTTTCTGTCTTCTTAGACTGAGCTGGACTTCGAATGGTCGAAGAGAGGAGAGAAACTCAGCAACACCGAGTTCGACAAGATAATTGACCTTATCGAAAGACTGCTTCAAGGGATTCCAAATTCTGAGGTAAGAGAGAATGCATTTCAAAACTTTTAGTTTACCAAAAGAAAAAAAAATGAATAGTTAGCTCTTTGATGTAAATGCTTGGCCATGTGCTGTTGATTCTTCGTCTTATTGTTTCCCTTGTTGTATACCTGCCCCATTTTCCGAAGATGTTGCCGATGCTTTCATTTCTCAGATGCAGCCATTACCAGTGTCTATGAGCAGGAAAGAGGACATCAGAGACAAGCTGCTTCCTGTGCAGAACCAGGTAAGCCCCTCCTTACTATATTCTGTTTGAGACCTACTAACCATGTATAACTAAACAAGCAAAAATCCGTTATCACCCTATTATCTCAGCTTATAATACCTAACATTATATTTATCACAGCGCCTTTTTTGACCTTCACTATAATCTTAGAATCTATTGTACGTATTATGTATTATGGAAACTCAATTTATAAAACATGGACAACTTTTATTTCAGGAAGATGAAAACTCTGATGACTCGGACCCAAACTCGGATCCTGCAGACGAGAGTAGTGGAAACTACGCGTTTCTGGAAATGGTATGGAGATTATAAGTTATAAACTGAGTTTATAAATCTGCAGGTAATGGCTGATTATAAACATTTTGGACCTTTGTTCAAGACCAGTCCAATTTCTACATTGTACAACACAAGGCCATATGACATAGCTCTCTATGTCTGTATAGGCATCCAAGTACGTGTTCACAATGTTTCTGTTGGAACTATATGCTTCATCTTGTGGATTACTGTTTATCATTGCCACTTATTGTTTAGGTTGTTCCTGAACGTTCAGTACAGGACAAATGCCTATTAGTAAATACTGTTGTCGCAAGTTCCCTATTCATTCATTCATTCATTCATTCATTCATTCATTCATTCATTCATTCATTCATTCATCCAGTTAGTTCCTTGTCAATCCACTTTGGATGAATAGCTGTTTAACACGTCATTGCAAATTTCTGATATCTATTGATTGACAGTAATGTAGCTGGTTGAGTTAATGTGCCACTTCTTATGATATGTTTCATTTTTCAATTAGCAAAGGGAGTTGGATGGGGCCCCGGTAGAATGGAGACAACAAGAAGAGGGCCTTCAGATGATCAAGTGGTTCAGGGTAGGTTCCGATATTCACTTCTATACAAATAGGGCATCAACGAACCCACCCACTCTATACCATGATCGTAGAAAGCAGGTTTTGTTTTAATTTGCCAATCACTACTCTCGTGTCGTGAGAGCTTCTTTCGTTTTCGAATCACTATTAATATTACTATTCACAGGAAGCAGAGCATGCAGGCTTCCTCCCAGAAGAAGTCCAAGCAGCGCTGTTACATTGTGGGAATGCCAACCCTGTTGACTGGTTAAAGGCGAACTGGCGGGAGCTTGTGGCCAGCACTGCGGCACAGGCAACAGAGGAAGGGAAGAAACTGAGGGCGAACATCGTTGGGGTCATCACTACACAAGAAGCAGCAGAAGCTCTGAGGAAGCAAGAAGGAGACATCGCCAAATCCATCAAAGAGTGCATCGACAGCAGGCGGAAAAAGGTTTTTATTCTAAATTTGTTATCATGTTGTATAAAAAAAAACTGCTTTTGCAAGTATATTATACATTCAGAAATGTATTCAATGAGTGATTGGAACATGCACTACATGTACACAATTTTGAATGGACTTAACACATATCAACATAGATGCCTAGTGTGCCTACCATGTCTAGTATCATCTACATATTATGTGCCTAATATTGTGTAACCATCTTCAATGTTTGGCATGCAGTTCGTCCAGATGATGCAGGACCATGACTTTGAGCAGGACCAGGTACTGACCGCCCTACAGGAGAACGGCGGTGACAAAGAGAAGGCCATCCTGGCTATACAACGGGAAAAACTCCGTCCATTCGAGGAGCACATTTGGCGAGCAGATGAAAATCCCCAGCGCGTGGAGTTAAAGGATGGTGACCATGAGGTAAGATTCTTTCAATAGCACTGAGCAGAAGTGATGTGTTTCTTGTATCAGTATGTATTTACGTCTTGTCACTGCAACAATGGTGACGTTAAATACGGTATAAGAACTCTGAAACACTCCTACTCACGTTCATTGATCATTGTCTTGTTATTGGCTGCCTACATTTCTTATCAAAATTTCTTCTGCTACCCTTCATATCTCTTGTGCGAAGTATGATGTAACATAAATTGCCAGTACCCTTTAATGGAAATGCATATAAATCTATTGATCTTGATCTTGAAAAGTTACTGTGTAACTTATTTCAGAGGAACGTACGGATGGTGTTGTGCCAGTTCAGCCTCCCAAGCTGGGAATGTGCGGAGACGGCAGTGGAGCTGATCGCGAGTGAAGAGTACGACTTTGGTGACAGCATTGCAGTGGTTAGAATATGCGACGATCTGGAGACGTGTAAGGGATACCTAAAATACAAGGTCAGTTAATACGGTAAAGTGATCAGAATCTGCACAGAACCATGAATTGGGCTTTCTTTTGGGATGTTATTAGATTCATTGAATCAATGAAACATCAACGTTTAATCTGTTTGTGGCTTATCACTTTTATCACATGAAACACTTGCATGACAAAGACACCTTGTGCTATTATACAACTAGGCAACACATCAATAACGTTATGTATTTTTCTACATTTTTCGTTATGTAATTAGCATGATTATTTTACCACACACAGTCTTCTCACTGTGCACGCTTCCCGTGGAGTGACCTATCGTCAGCACGGCTGTCCAGAATATTACTGTCCAAGTTCCTCTGCAATGCTGGGGACCCTCAGTTCGCCAGGGAGAGCATATACAGAAAAGTGATGTGTATGCTTCTTCACGCCCTCCGAGACTGCACCAACAAGTCCAACTGTCCTGTTCGCCGAGTCCTCACTGAAGGTAAACATTCCTGTAATCTCATATTTCTATTTACTTGCTATTTGTTGAGATACAGATGTCAAAATAGTGTCGAATTCAAAGTCACTAAAGGGCTATATGCCTGTGTTACAGCATATGCCGACTTCGTCATCACCAGTGGCCAAAACGAGCAGCAGGCCATACCACCGACTGTACTTGAGGGTCTTTGCCAGCGCGTTGAGACCACACTGGGACAACCCCTGATCAACTTCAGCTTACCTCAGGTAAGTGATAAAGGGCAGCTGATACTCAAAGTCAAATGTAATTTTAACGTGGAAGGTCACATAACACAAACATAGTTGAAAATGTCTAGATCTGTATTTAAGCAGTAGACAGTTTTCTGTAATTTCTGTGCAAGGTAAGACTAGGAAACCCCAGCCCTATACCCTAGAAGTTGATACCGCGCATTAACATTCAAATTGTCCGACATACATGTGGCAATATCTGTGTATGCTATGGCTATTTCTAATATTGTTACTGAAGGTGTATTCGTTTGGTGTCATGTCCCTTTACTTCCAGATCAATTTACCTGTTGTGGTTCAGCAGCAATGTATGTTCATTGCTGCATTGCCTGCACCAGCTAAGATTATTCCCTGAAACACTCATAATCTTTGGTGCTTACAGGCAGCATTCAAATGATTTAGTGAACACTTTTTATTTCATGATAGTTGCTGTCAGATGAGGAGAAAATCACACGGCACCAGGCGGAGATGCTACTGACGATCATCGAGTTCACTCCTACCGGGTACACGGAGGCATTGGAGGCGATTCGAGGCGCCGGGGTCACCGCAGATCTGCGTGAAGTGTTGCACGTGCACGGACTGAACTACGTAAGTAAAAACAAACATATACCAATGTTTCGATTGAATGTATTTCATATCTTTACGAATATTGCACGGTCTTTTACAAGTGAAGTACATTATCTAACGATTTGCTGTATTACCTACGTTACCTGTAGCCTCAACTATGATGGAAAAAAAAAGTACCAGACAAGTTTTCAAGCTCCTAGTAGGTATCAGTCTAGTACGACGTCGACATTGCGATTGATTTGATTACAATTTAACATTTCAATTAACTGTGCTGTAACTGTTATGACAAGTTATGACTGTATCTTTCTTTCTTGATCATTTCAGCCTTCCAACGACTAAACTAGGAGTCATGAGTCAGAAAAGGCGCAGCTTTGATATCAAGTCATTTACTACTTAACATATTAAGTTTGTATGTATTTCCATGTCGTCTGTACTTTCACAATGGTGTATGAAGGAGAAAGATGTGCAAAGGGGAAACTGCATGTTAGGTACGATTAACACTTGGGTATATACAAGCTTATATCTCCATGCAGTGCATTTGTACGTAGGGCCATTTTAGTCCCAGGACATGTAACGGTTATACGTAGATATGATTTGGCGTGTGCTTAAAAATTGTAGACATTTTTTGTAGTACAATTGATGTATGATATCATACATCAATCTCTGAGTAGGACTAGCGGTCCATAAGTTGTTGTGAATATACTTTGGCCTTTGTGCACGGTAGTTACAACCGTTATTTTTAACTTATCTTTAGTCAGAAATTGGAGGCATAGTATTTGCTGCAGCTTATTTCTAGACTATTCGAAAAATACATAATCTGAGACATTGTAAGACGCATCATCTTCCGAATCGGCAAACCATGAATGGACTGAAACAAGTACATGTTTTTTTTTTCAGTTAGACGAGCTTGTTGAAACGTTTGGACTACTATTTTTGTGGAAGAAGAAAAAATGTTGCACTCTAAATTAGTTGAATGGTTTGCCGTTCGGTGGAAATCCGTGTATGTCGATGAGTTATGTTGGACGGCAACTTCTTAAAGTATAGCGTGTCTTATGGCACAGTTCCAGTTCTAGTCTTGATCTGACTTGTGCCATAATACAAAATGTACATAATGTAATAAGATCGTGAATGTACATATTTGTAGATGCATTGTAGAAAATTGCTTAAGTGGAATGGATAAGCATAGCTAACCTTTGTTTTCGTACGAAAAGCAGACATGTTTAAGTTACATTGGGAAGTCTTGAATTCAAAGCAATGAGTATATGTGATGTGCCAAGTGAATGTTTCTGTGTACGACACAAATTCATTGAATATACTACTGTATACTGCTTCATAGATCATAAAGCCTATATCATAGTTTATTTGGACGTATATCCAGACAACCTTTCTTGTCCTCCCGAACGGCATAGTCGCTGCAGCTCCTTGCTGTAAAACACAATAAGGAATGTATAAGATTTTCTAAAAGAAACACTGTCAACATTCATAGGTAGATCTAGTAAGATCTGGTTTATTCCATAGAGACATAGACAATGTAGCCAATATTTGTGTTTTTTATACAAACGCAACTGTTTCACTATTTATATGTTTTGGCAGCAAAAGTATTCAAACCTGTCAATATGTACAATAACACATAGTGTGTAGCGTTAATCATATTTAATTTTTTTCAGCGGAATTCAACATCAATAAAATATCAGTACAAATAAATCGATATGACCTTAATTGTACGGTGGTCTGAATCATTACAGCTACTCTATGCTGTGTAACTAGGTTGTGAACTTACTTTCTTAACTTACATGTATAACATGGTACTCAAGTGATGTTTGTCATAAATACATGTTAATTATGCAAATCTGGATCGAATTTGCATAATGATTAGGACTAAAGTATATGATTAAGTCTGCTGTCAAGTTGAGAACGAGAGTAACATCGGCCATCATTTATGAAATTGAAAACCTGATTTGCATAATTATTGATACAAAACTATAATTTCATAGTGTTATCTGATAGATGGATGTGAAAGGTGGACATCTTATAATATGTTATCACCCGTCGACTGGGATGACGGACCTACTACTGTACTGGGTTATGGAACTGTAACTTGTTTCGGTTCATTTTTTATATTTATCACCTTCGTCATTTAAATTCTGTTCATCTTTAAAATTTCTCTCATGTTGCCGTATTTTATCTAACTTTGTTTCGTTCATTTGCGGCCGCCTACGATGCTTGCTGACTCAGCCTATCATGAATGGCCTACAATGTACGTGATCAGATACTAGTCAAGTTCAGGTCATGGCCCAGACTGTCAACAATCGAGAAAAGCCTGCTCTGTTTCAGCAGAATCATCAAGTTACATGAACGTTTACATTAAGCCTTTAATACATGACCCCCTTTTTTTTTTGTTTTTTGTTTTTTTTTTTCGTCCTATCGCATTAGATTTGGAGTCTGCGGAGGAATCAATAGAATTTGCTTGCTGTGTGTCCTGTGTGTGTGATCATAGGAACGACATAAACATTCACCCGACGAAGTTGAGTCATTTAACAAAACAAATCTGAGAAAACAAACCGCATTTCCTCCCTCATTTTTTCCTTGGTTTGACAATGTACAAATTTATCCAGTTCATCATTGGCTCCAAAGTGTTCAAATGAGTCAACTGTGATATTGCGACATGAGTCAGGTCTATGGGTTGCATTGTTCTCATTGAACTTTGACCTCCAAATCTAAAAAGGGGTACCCATTCGTGTATGACGACAGCGGGGTTTGGTTTGCCGTTCTGCCTTGGCCGTAGCCACCACCGAAAATCCTTCCTTCCAAAGTGTGGATAGCATTCCTGGATATCTTCGAGTGTTTGGCAGTTCAGTAGCTTCTAAAACCCCCATAGAAGCCTCATTTCCTCATTTTGTAAGAATACAACAACCTCGATACCTGTCGTAAAGTTCACAGATTTTGGGGAGCGTCCGAAGTCCTAGTAACGTTATAGCGACCAGCAGTGTTCTTTGTTCCTGAACGCACGTGTTACACCTGGAGGCTTTCAGTGTAGCGTCGCATAGGTAAAGTTGTAGGTACAAATATCAGGAAGAAGACGGTGACCAGACATCAGCCACAGTCCTGCTATATCTACATTCAGTGTGGGAGGGAAAACTTCAATCTACAATTCATGTCAAGCCCGGAGAGAACAGCAAAAATGATCTTCTTCTTGGGCCAACATTGCAGTCACCTCAGAGTGACCAGAACGTCTCTTCACACAGTCTTTGTGAGTATAGAAATATCTTTATGGCATTGTATTTTTAAAATACGAGTGAGTGAGTTGCTTTGAATATGAAGTTTTACGTATATCATATTATACAATTCGGCATGGGCAAGGAAGTAACATGCATGTTGCATTAGTTGTATTAAATGTACTTCTGTGTCCGGAAATACTAGCGTCACAACTGAGAATATGTAATGAAATCTGAAATTTTATCAAAGAACCACAGTATAGATGTTTAATGTTCTTGACTTGAACCTCGCCCCCCTCCCCCCACCCTTTACACCCACTTCTTTCCCTTTGAAACGAGAAGCGTGGGTTATTAGCACGTGCTGGTCTTCTGACTTCTGGAGGGGGTTGAAAACAGGAATTGTCTGAGTCTTACATCATGGTTTACATTATAAGAAGATTAGAAGGAACAGGTGCAAGATCCCCCATAATCATATCAATAATATTCCTTGTTTGATTGCTCCTGGTTTGGTTTTGTTAACGTTATGTATTTCTAAAACTTGGTGAAACCAAGGAGGTTTTAAACAGGTACATTTTGTACTTGTTAAATCATTTAACTATTCGTGTATGAATCGACATGTACATGTAGTCCCTTTTTCAGCTGAACACATTTGTGGCAGCCATGAAGACATCAAGAATTTGTCTTGTTTGGAGCTATTCGCAGGTGCCATACATAGACAGAAATATAAGCAGTCACAACCAAACTAACAGTGGACCGTAGTCAAATAAAGATTAATAGCTTAGTAAATATACTTCAATTACAAAGAAATTGATCTGAGTACACTCTGATCACGTACTGGTGTTAACAGGAAAACGTGACCGGCCATACCCTAAGATGTTATGCTTGAATGGAAAATATAATATACACTGTGACCAGAGTCTTCCTGTTGAGGTCTGCTATCACTCAGGTGTATTACAGACATAGCAGTCCATTAAAATACTTCAGCTTTCTTAAATTGTTGGGAAATGACATATTTTAAGGGAATGTCTGCTTGAAACCCATGTAGTAATTGGACCGTATGGAGACAATGATCATACATGCATTTAAATACCCTTTAAATACAATGCCGGAGCTGCATTGTTGTATGACGCAGGTTTAAATGTGTAGGGGAATCCCCTCGCTCAGTGATTACATACATGTAGACTGCGCAGCAAGTGCATTGCAGAACATTGCATTGGGTTACTTAAATTGTAGCGTGCCCTGTATTTCAGTACCTTGTATATATGTAGCATTCTTTCTTCAAATTCTTGTTCAAGTCAGAAGCTCACAGGAAATGCTCTCTTGTGTTCTGACCACAAAGAATGTGGTTGTCAATATAGTTCACGGACACACCTGTTTTTTAGGCAAATAAGTACCATGGCATGTACTAAGTTACATACAGGTACTAGAGCAGTCCCTATCTTCCGCATTTGAATTGTCACTGATGTCAAAGCCTTCTGTAGACTTGTACAAAAAGGAAGAAAAGTTCAACACATTCTTTGACTTAATAAATACCTACTGTTTACCATAGATGTTGCACAAATACTTGAGTGCACAGTTGACCTTTGAACCGTTACGAAATGCTTGTATATATGTGTAAGACTAGACCTTAAGCATCAAACTCTTTAGCTTAAAAAGACTGAAAACTTGCACATAATATAAGAATAAAGGTAATCATAGTTTCATACACTAAGACAGAACAAGAACTTTCTAATATCTGGCCTTGGAAATGTACAGATGAGTGTGAAATCCCTATTAAATTCACAAAAAATCCAAGTTACAAACACATGTAGTTCATCACATATATGGACATATTGTTATTATACAGTTATACTATAGTACATGTATTTATTTTTAACGTCAATATCATGATCAGCACTACATTCTAGAAGCTTTTAACTTCTCAGTGACCCTTGATGTCTACAGCGATAGTCCAGGATTTAGTTACCTTTACAGGATTTAGTTACAAAGGTTGTGGGAGGTGGAGATATTTAGTTTCACAGGAGAACAAGGGACCTGCCTTTGCTAGTAGTGAAGTTCCATTAAGCCACTCCTTACCATTGCATGCCAACAGGACACTGTTACTCCAGAGACTTAGGTGCCATG